GGGTTTCAGGGTGAATCCATCTCTCATATATTTTCTTTTTTTCTGTATAATTAAAGCTCGATTGATTTAGATACAAGGCTCAGACATCTTATTTCAATGTCTATAAGAAGGCCGGTTTGACACTGTTTGTTTCCTACATGGTTCAAATCATTTTCCATCTCCTCCTGCAGAGCTGCGTCCTCTCCCTGCAGACGTCATGACCGACACCCGAGCTCCTCCTAATGACTGACTCATTCAGCCTCCTGATGTCCAGCCAGCCGGACGGAGGTCGTCGTAAAAGTTCAGTGAGTGTTGTTACATTTAGTGCCTCCTCAAAACCTCATTAACTCTCCCCGTCTGCACCCAGGGCCGTATGGTTTCACTTTCAGCCCTGCAGACGGAGATTTCTCTGAGTCTCTGCTCAACTGTGTATTCAAGAGGTTTCAGTCCACGATCTTGAACTCAACCCAACCTGGTTTTACATCAGTCAAGAAAACCAGACAGGAACATGTTTATCAAATTAAAACTATGACAGCTGCTGTTGAAGTTGATGGATGTGCACTCGAAGACTAAAGATTTTGCATCTATTTAAGTTCCCTTTGAAAAAATAGCCGAGAGCAGAAATGTTATTTTAGTTTAGATCTAAAAAAACATTAAAAATGATCAGAAACAAAATCAGATTCCCCTGAAGCTGACTGTCGTTGTCTAGAAAGTGAAAGCACAACAGCAGGTTAGATCCAGGCTGGGATGTTATTTAAAACATGATGGCTGCAGTTCTTTAAGTGGCCACTAGGGGCTCGGTCAAAAAGTGAGTCAATGCTAATCAGTTTTTCTTTAACCGAGCAGAAATCTCAGGTGTCTTGTGGTGGTCTGTAGTGGCGAACCTCTCACTCTTACGGGGGCGCTCACACCAACCGCGAGGAAAATCATCTATTCGCTTAATTCGCGTGTGAATGAATGTATTTACTTGCTTCATTCACACGTCAACAGTAATTTTAATGGTAATCCCTGCCGATTCAACTGGCAGGATCAAGTGATAGACAACGTTTTTTTTTACAATTTACTAATCCGACCTCCTCACTCACTTGCCTCCAGGCAAGCTCTGTTTTATTCCGGTTTCGGTTATTGAAAGAAAAGGTATCGTATAATTCGGGGCACCCACACATCAACACGATCAATTTGTCCTCCATTTTAGATACCAGTGAACAACCGTCCGTTTTCATACATCATCCAGCAACCTTATCGCGACGCGAATATCCGCTCAAGTTGAGACATTTCGCATCATTCACGCCGTCAGAGTGGTAGGAGCCTCTACTCGCATCTTTGCATTGACTTAACATGTAATTTATTCGCGCGAATGACTTTACTCACGCTTGGTGTGTGGAGACAGTTACAGATCATGTAACTGTAACTTACATGGATTTGAATCAGACCTAAAGACAGAGCCCACAGCTTGAGCAGTTGTGTTTAATCTTTTAAATGTTTATATTGTATCTCCTGTGTGTTCTTGATTAACCTGACTCAGCAGGACTTTAATTCCTGCTGCTTTACTGAAGCTGCATTCCTACGTCTGAAGTTAAAGTCCCCACTCCATCTCTGCTCTCCACGCTGTAAACCTCCTGGTGGGGGCTGTAAAATAACTGTGCTGTCGTAAAAACCATCCTGACTGCAGCTCGTAAAACCCGGAGGAGGCTCGACGATACACAAACAGTGTTACTTGGCTCTTCTCTGTTCTGCTGGTTGTTTGAAACTCCCTGGAGTCAGTCGGTCTCTGAGGCACAATCATCACTTCCAGGAAAGCATCCACTCGTGTGGTTCAGAAGAAAATCCTCTGGTTTAATAAACAGCATGCAGATGACGGCTCGGGCCTTTGTGGAGCTTTGAAATGAGAACAGGCTTTGCAAAAGTTGTAAATCAGGACGTTTTACTGGAGTTTAAATTAGTTCTCCATATTTTATTCACCCTCTTGACACAAATTGACTAGAAGTTCACAAGGTTTAGATACAACCTCAATTATAATGAAGTTAGGATCTAATGTTAAATGTTCTTGTTTAATGAAAGTGCAAAGAAACTGGAAACGTTTTAGTTTTGGTTCTTCCCCCAAGAACTTTTTATCCATCTGGTTGTTCCTCTAAGAACTTTTTAGGGTGGCCATATCCTGACTTCTCAAAAAGATAACATGACTATGTGGGAGCAAAGTCATGGAGTCGCACAAAGTTCATTTTAGGAGTTTTTCGGGTTAGATCGAGTGTATTTTAGTGTTTTAGTGTTACTGACATGTCCAGGGGCCTGTTCTACGAAGCAGGATTACTGCTTAGCGAGGTAACTTTGAGGATAAGTTCGGGGTTTCCTGTTCTACGACGCGGGTTCACCTCTTAGCGAGGCGAGTCTCCATAGCAACATACGCTGAACGGCTAAACTGCTCCGGGGCAGGTTAAGTTCCAGATTGAACTCACCGAGTATAAAAACCCCGCCCACTGACCAGCTCTCTCGAAAAACGGCTTGTCCGTTCTTGGAGGATCCTGTAGACCTCGGTGCTCGCATTGTCCGAGGAGGAGCACTCCGGCTCGCGAGAGTTTTCAGGGAGAGTTTTCTCCGGATGACCACCTTTATGAAAGGCTCATATGGCCGACATATTACACAAAACATGTAAACACGATAGGAATGAACAAATGAATGATTCATCTTGGGAATGAATGGGCATGGGCTGCGCGATCACAGACAACATCTCGGTACTATTTAGTAGCAGCGCACGCCCCTTATAATAACCCCGTAAATACTGTTGTTCAGGACTGCTTACTTGTGTTTGCTACCCACTGTAACAACCGTTGTTCTTGCCCACATGCAACATTTTTGTTCTCATTCATGAAACGCTTAAATCAGGGACATTTTCGGGGACAGCTTTAGCCGGGGACAGATCATCCAATTCGGGGACTGTCACCTTAGTTAAAAGCGCATGTTTAATAGTGCTATTTCAGGGTGATAATGACATCAAAGATTACTTTTCTGCCAGCATTCCCTCCGTGCTTTTGTAGCGGCGACGGTGTTGCTTTTGAGTTTTATGATAGCTTTCAATTCTTCATACTTTCTCATGATCGTCTCCTGTTCCTCGTTTGTAAAGTCCGCGGTCCTTCACTCTCCAGCCTGCTCTGACGCTCCAGACTGATCCATGTTCGCGATTGGTCAGATGCGGCGGGCTACGCCTTATATGTGTGCACGCGCTCATAGCAGAGCTGGATCCACTTATGAGGTTGATAACCAGCGTCGTGAAACCGCTTAGCGAGACCGCTGGCTACCACGCTAAGTTGAGCGAGGTAGCTCCAAGGCTACCTCGCTAGGTTGAACCTGCTTCGTAGAACAGGCCCCAGGTATAATGGTAACCCCAGTTGTTTCCAGGAGTGAAAGTAGTTTAAGGTTCTTGCAGGTGCTGTACCTGTAGAATTTGTACAAGAAGAGCAAACCCAAGTTTAACGAGGTTCCAACTCTGATGCCACAGTATCATCATCTGCTGTTTCTCTCTTTCTCTTGAACATAAAATCATTTTTTTTTGCATTTTCTTTTATTTCTGCGTTAAGATTGAAGCAGCTGTCTCTTTAAAAGTCCCCGGCGCCGACGCAACCAGCGTCCAATCAAAAGTGCGCACTGAGCGCTCACACTTCCGGGGTTTGTTAGTTTGTTTGCGGACGTGAAAACGACTCACTCGCAAGCAGAATGATCCTGTTGGATTACTACGGTTATGATGAAGAGTGCAGACGGACGTGCAGCAACACGGTAAGCAAATGTAACGTAGCCTACAGACATTGGAGTACCGGCTGTAAACTGCTGTTTGTGTCCTCCCGGTTCTGCGTATTGTTTCTCTCTGAACTTTTAACCGTCTGATTGTTCCTCTGAGAACTTGTTACAAGTTTAATTGTTCCTCTCAGAACTCTTTAGCGGTCTGGTTGTTCTTGTTTGAACTTTATACCCGTCTGGTTGTTCCTCTGAGAATTTTTCACCGGGACAGCATGTACACATTTCAATCTTCCGAGCAGGTGTTGTGCTGTAAAATGCACCCCTGCCGTAAATGCACCCCTGACGGGAGCGCGGTTGAAAGTACATAACAAGGCGAATTAATCCGAGTTTTCCTTACCATTGGATGGATTCAAAGAAGGTGCCTTTAGTATTTCATTCAGACTATTCAGATAAGCCGAAAATATAATGTTCTCTATCTTAACAGCTTACTTTACCGTTTAAATACCCAAGTACACCTCTATGTGTTGCATGACTTTGGGTGAGCACAGACATGAATAAACTGTCAGTCGTTTATTTATTTATTTATTTAGCTATCTTTTTGGTTTTTAGTCCTGCTTTTGTAGTGGCATCATACTAGGGCAGCTGTATACCCTCTCAACACTATTTTTTTTATATTAACATTTGTATTGAATGGACACTTTATCATGACTGCCACTTGTTTTACAGAAAGCAGATTTTTTGTTATTCTCCAGCGCAGAGCCTTTATAGTTATTTATACAGCCGCTTTATTTCATTTGAGTTATCTTAAAGCCACATGTGTAAGCTCTCAAATACTTTTTGAATTTTGTTTCTACCTGCTACAGAGGCCGAGATATCAGCTTTTTTTTTATAAACCTCAACATTTAAGAAAACCTCAGGATCTGGGGACCTTCTCAAAATGGCCCTCAGGATTTAAGAGGCGTGTCTCAGACAGGGTTCAGGTCTTCATGGGTTAAGACCTTTTTACTCGTCTGGTTGTTCGTCTAAGAACTTTTGACTTGGTAAATATTTTGTCGAAGAACTGTTTTAATTGTTCCTCTAAGAACTTTTCACCTGTTTGGTCTCAGATAAAGATGAAATTTCTTGACTTTTTCATCAAAACCGGAATAACCCAAACTTTATCTGTGATATGTAACCAAACTCTACCACCAGGTCTATTTTTGAGACATTTGAAGAAGCAGTTTGCAGATCATTGCCATGGAAATTGTAATTATTTACCTCCACAGGCAGTGATCATGTTCTCCACTAACCTCCCTTACAGGCATCAGCAGCATAAAATATTCCATATTTCAGTAATTGTCTTCAGGCCTGTGCCCTACATCCAGAGAACAGATATGTCTCTGTCATCTCCAGCCTCAGATCTTCCTGTTTTCAGATCATCTTTCCCTCCTCAGCTCCTCTCCTGCTTGTTTGCACATTTTAATCATCAGAAGAATCTGAAACTGGATCCGTCTGCAGATATTAACAGCGGCACAAAGAGGCTCTGTCTCTGCAGGATGTTCGCCGAGGGAAACTCGAGGGCGTCTGTGTCAGCTTTATTCAAGTGGATCTTTAATAAACAGACGACTCCGAGTCACAACAAGCTTCTTAACGTCGAGAAGTCAGCGACGTTTGTTCCTGTTTGTCGGGATCTGAGTGGGAATCGATGAACGTTTGAGTGGAGGAGAAGCAGAAACACTTTCGAGGTTCAGGTCATCACCCCGGGGCGTCTGACGGATCAGCAGCTCTTCATCGCTGACCTCTCCTCCTCCTCCTCCTCCTCCTCCTGCGCCCTGAGGGAGTGACAGAGCCGCTCTTTAAATCCAGAGGAGCCGAACTTTAATCCAACTAAAACAAGAAAAACAGACTTTTTTAGTTGAGCCTTTTAAAACCTTTTTAACTGTTTCAGTTTAAACTGTTGATACTTGAAGTGAAGTCCAACTTCTGTCAGTCTGGACTTTGTTGAAGTTTCTTTAAACTGTTCCTGTTTTCATCACAAAATCAAACCTCACTCTTTGGGCTCCTGGGGGAGAAAAAAAACATGTTTGCTGAAGGTCAGCTGCTCACAAAAAGGGGAAAAACAATAAACAGAGTATTTCAAAATAAACAAAAGAATCTGAAACTAAAATATTGAGAGTAAAACAACAACAAAATTCAGGGATCTGTTGTAAAATACATGGAAAAAGGAGGATAAACTGTTCATGAACTTTGGTGAAAATGTCCCGTCAAATTCAGGCACTTCAACTAAAAATAACAGTATTAAGAATGAGAATAGTTTAAAGGACTGACACTGATACTGAAGCCTGATTATGACCCTGAAGTCACTGAAACCATCAACACAAAGGCCGATAACTTAACTGTTATAATTTTTAATCCTTAAACTCCTGAGAAGAGGTCGTAGTCGGACCAGAGGAACGTCATCAGGCAAAAAAAATCAACTTATTTTGACTTCTTCACAGTAAACAACTACAGTGAGTGATATATTTCACCCTTAAAAGACAATAGAGTGAGGCTTTGTTTGTAGACACGACTGTCACGTGTACAGGAATGATACAGCATATTATCGTGATATTTTGTCTGGTGATATATGGTATCATCTCATTTACCAAAGTATTGATTTTCCAAATTAATTGCTAATATGAAGTTAAATTTATGATAATATAAATATAAAATAACTGTTTGTCCAGTGAGGTTGGCAGAGGCGACATCATAGAGCAGCAGAGTTAGAGCAACAATATAAGGTTCGCAAGATGTGCAACGTGAAACTAAAATACAAACATAAAGGAAAGACAAACGCTAAATTAGCTTAACAGTTGAAAAAATCACAGTATATTGTCTCTCAATACTCACTGTATTACAAAATGTTAAAAACAAAAATAATATATCATGTCCCAATTACCGTGATAATATCGTATCATGGGGCCACTGGTGATTCCCACCCCTCAGAGTCAGTGAGGACTCCCTCGTCTTTTTCCCCGTTTATCTGTTTTATTTACAGCTTGATGACCACCTCTTTCTCCCGTCAAACTCTTAAATATTCCTCACTCAGATTTTATTGTGTAGTAAAATCCAGAGCAGCTTAAATCTGTGAGTTTGACTCAGTAAATACAGCTGTGAAAACAGAGACAGTCCAGATCTTCACTGTTTCTGCTCCGGTGTCTGGCGTCTGCAGATAACAGCAGCAGAGAGCAAACACAGGAGCTGAAGGTGGAGCAGCAGGAGGAGAAGCTTTGTGTCTCTGCTGATGGATGGAGATGTTTGTTTCCAGCTGGGATGTCGAATGAGATGAAACAGGCGACAGTGGAGCCGTGGTTACTCCGTTAAAGAGATGATGAGAATAGATGAGAGGAACATCGTCAAACAGATAAACCAGGATTCATGTGACACCAGAGTGAAGATTGGGCTGAATGAAGTTCTCACATCACCTGGTCTTTATCAGGATCAATCAGACTCACACACCTGAGCCTGAACTGAGGAGACTACCTCACCAAACCCAGCCAGTCCTAATACTTCAGTACAGGAACTATTTCTGTGTCAACCCTCTTTTGTGACAAGTGAGGACGTTTGGGTCTCAAATAGTTTCTAAAAATGAGAAAATTCCTGCTCTGAGTGTTTCAGGAGGGGGTTCAAGCCCTGAATCCACTTCCCAGAACGCCCTTTTGTCTGAGGAGCAGGACTCCCTGACACTCAGGGGGGTGTGGGTGAATGGCGATGAGTGGGTTACTCTAGCAACGGCAGTGTGTTGAAAATGGGAGGGCGAGTGTTTGGAGGGTGGAGACAAAGATGCAGGGTCTGTTTGTCAAAGTGTGAAGAGCGGAGAGAAGGTTTCACGACCTGAGAGCGCTCGGCAAACACCAAGAGAACACCGCCGAGCTGGAAATAAACAGGTTTTTAACCATTTCAGGAACAACAAGTGACTTTGAAAGAGGATTCACTGTTTCCTGTCCGTCATGATGAGCAGTTAAAGGCGGGTAACCGAGTACAGAGGGCGGTTAAGACCACCTGGATAGATGGTTCTTAATAATACCTGACATTAACCTGAGAGGTCAGTACTAGACATGAACTTTCTCTCAGGCATCCCAAGGACCCAAGGATAAAGATGAACTACTTCCTTCCTTCCTTCCTCTCTTCCTCTTTTCGCCCCAAAATTCATAAAACTTAAGACACATCATCACATGCCAATATCTTCCTAGGTTTCCATAATACACACAGCGCCCCCCCACACAAAAATTCAGCCCCTTCACTGGGTTCAACCTACGAATATGAAACTTGCTAAACATTGGTATCATCCTGAGATCTACGAAAAATCCTCTCGGACCCATCCTCTAATCCCAACAGGAAGTCCAGAAATTTTAGTTGAATGTCTGATATTGTTATGGGGGCTTCAGTCAAACAGTGTATTATCCAGAAACAGGAAGTCATTGCAGCTCCTTCACACAGTCTTCAATCTGTTAGATATCCCTGAGCACATCTATGCACCTGTTTCTAGATAACATTTATAGCACCACTTCAAAATAAAAGCATAGTTTCACTATGCAGGAAATGAAGCACCATAACACAAGACAGAAAAAATATCAAAATAAAAGCACAACAAACAATTATTTTCTCTAAAGACGTTTTTTGTCTCAGATCATGTCCCTATATAAGCTTTAGTTTATACAGTGATTTCGTAGTAGGAGTGGAGAGAATAAGAAGCAGCGGCCGCTAGCTAGCTACTTGTTGCAATCCACTGAGCGATGATTCAGCACTTTTTAAAAAGCTGGTGTTCAAGATTTATTGAACAACATGAAAGTTCTAATTGTAACTCTAACTGTAATTTTCTCTAAGGAAGTAGATGAATCATAACTCGATATGTGAAAAATAAGATTTTTATGAAGAAATTCGTCACTCCATCTTTGTCTGGCTTTTTCGTAATTTGACTGGTTTTACTGTCTCAGTTTTAAGTTTTTCACAAATTATCGTAACAGCAATATTTTAAGGCCACAATACGCATGAAGTGAAGATCTGATATCCTGAAAACTGAAAATTGACCATCAGCAGAGCTACGCTAGGGAATCCTCATGTTTACGCTAAGATAAGCTAACGACGCCCAGGACCTTCGAAATTTTCTCTAAGGAAGTAGATAAATCATAATTTCAAACATCACTACAAACAAATAGGATCAATGTAAGATTTTTATGAAGAAATGTATCGCTCCACCTTTGTCAAGCAGTTTCATAATTTGACTGATTTTGCTGTTTCAGTTTCATTTCTCTTTAAATTATTGTAACAGCGATATTTTACAGCCATGATACCCATGAGGTTAAAATCTGATATCCTGAAAGCCGTGGTTTGACAATCAGCAGAGCTACGCTAGCTTTTTTAACTTATGTTTATATACGCTAAGCTAGGCTAATAACACCCAGGACCTTCTAAATTTTCTGCATTATTATATTTTCTTCACTTTTCAATGACGTAAACTTTGACCTTCATACTTTTGTTTTTTTCAGAGAAAGGCAACAGACCGCCTCCTTCACGTTGTTTTCCTCTTATCGACTCATGGAGATTGAAATGTCGGGTTGGGGATCGGGGATGATTTGGTTGTGGATTTTTTTCTATGGGGGGGACTTTGGGTGGGGGTATCGCCTTTCATTCGCCCCCTTAGGGAAGACCACATGACCTGACACAACAGAGAAAAGCAGCAAAAAAGAGAGAGAGAGAGAGATGTTAGGCCCCGCTGCTCTGAGCGCTTCAATGAAAACCACATGTAGGACAGAGGGAGGGGTGGGGGGGTGAGGTGTGTGTGTGTGTGTGTGTGTGTGTGTGTGTCAAAGAGGAGGGGGGCCAGTGTAATGACTCAAAACCCAGCCTCCGACAGAAAGAGGAGGGAGTCACTCCGAGCCTCGCTGACATTCCCAACAAGCATTGCAGGGGAGAGACGTGTGTGTGGTTTAGAGAAAGAGAGGACGTGTGTGTGTTTAAGTGTGTGAGTGTGTGTGTGTTAGCGTGAAACCACCAGAGGAGGCTTCATCTGTGCAGCACACTCTCAAACCTTTCATTTTCAGCTTTCAGGCTGGGACAGAGAGCTGCTCCATTGTCGTGGTGAAGAAGAAGAGAAAGAAGAAGAAGAAGAGGGGAGAAAGTTTCAGCTGGAGCGTGTGGTGTGATCTGGGAAAAGAAGAAGAAGAAGAAGAATCAGACACAGCAGAAAAGAAGAAAAAGAGGCCAACATGTCCAACGCTCTGCTGAGGAGAAACTCCAGCAAACAGGGTTTACAAAACCTGATGAGGTATGTGATCGATGGGTTTCTGTTTGTCTGAAGCAGCGGGGTTAATGTTTAAGCTTCCAAAACACAGAAGAAGAAGAAGATCTCAGTGTTTCTGCTCATGAGGAGAAAGAGGAGCGTGTTTGTGCTGTAAAATCATCCACAGTGGGAATGGGAACAGTGGGATTACTGGGAGTGTTTTGGGTCACGCAGGATTTTGGGGGGGATTTGGGGTTTCGATTTACCTCCGCTGGCACGGATTAATCCTAACAAAGGAGCGGGATTAAAAAAAAAAAACCTTCTCCACTCAGAAATCTTTGTTGTTTCTCTTTTTAGAGTTGAGTTACTGGAAATGTTGGAGGTTTCAGAGACGCCTGAAGCTGCTCGGTTTTTTTACAGAAAGGGAAAAGGGGAAGTGGTGTCGGTGACCTGTGTCAGAGGTGAAAGGTCACCGGAGTCCGTCTTTTGTTTTCTGGGAGCTTTCAGGTGGCGGCACGTCCTGTCTGCAGGGGAAGACGTTTTTTTTGTTTCTGTTTCATCCTGTTTCAGCTTTCAGCGGTTTGTAACAGAGGAGATAATTACAGCTCATGTAGACGTCTGTGATGTGGGATTATTTATCAGATTAGACATTCAGAGAGTCATAAATCTGACTGTGTGACTCTGCAGAGACACTGACCAATCAGAGCTCTCCATGCTGGCTCATGAGGACTCTTACTGTCACCTCAAAACTACTACTCCATCCAGGGTCCAGTGTTTCGCCAAGAGCACAGAGATTTTGGGATCAAACCATCAAATCAGGATTTAGGGAGACCCTGCTGTCCCACCTCTGAACCAAAGCCCCCCACTCAGACCCACTCACACTGTGGAGACTGTGAAGATCTCTGCTGTGATGCTGAATCAGTCTGTTAGTCCACCACTTGAATTTTTATCAACATAACTTAAAAAATAACATAAACTCTCCTCAGAAGACGATCCTCATGTCAGAATTTGATCATTTCAGATTTATTGAAGAAATTTCAGTCATCTGCAGACTGAGATAAGCAGCAAGAGAAGACTTCATAAAAACACAAACATGTAAAGTAGACAAACAGCATTTTTAAAATTGATTACTTTGGATTGTGCATTTAGTTTTCTAGTAATTCAATGTGTTTCAGGCTTTCTTCAGGTCTTTGGATCTCTTTAAACTTTTGAACTTTAGTTTTTGGGTCTCAAATAGAGACATTTGGTTGTTACGTTGAAATGTAAGTCAAAAATATAGAAAGTTTGCCCAAAAAGTTGTGTTTTGGTATCTTTAGTACAGAGAGTTATCCTTTAAATATACATTTTGAGGTCTTCTTTAAAACAGAGTTAGCTCTTAAATATCAAACGCTGGGAAAGTTGCATTTGGAGGTTGAATTTAAGGCGCTGTTATCAGAGGAAGTGAGCTCTTCATTGTTGGATTTTAGGTCTCAAACAGAAAAATCGTCTTTTTGTTGACTTTTCTGTTTGATGTTGAATCTTCCTTCAAAAGGGATTTGAATGTTCGATTTTTGATTCATGCGGTATTGAAGGTTAGCTTTTGAACATTTTAGGTCTCTTTAGTAAAAAAAAGTTAGTCTTTTATCTGTTAGATCTCACGTATGAAGAAGGTTGACATTCAAATGTTGAATTCTGGGTCTCATTTTTGGATCTTAAATTTGGAGTTTCTGTAATTCAGGAGGTTCTTTGTCATGTTTTGTTGTTAGTTTTTGTGCACAGTGATACAGACTTTGTAGTTTTCAAGTGGATCTAAGACTGTCTTCAGATCTTTCCATGACAGCTTTTGAACATTAGATTCTGGGTCTTATAAAGTCAGCCTTTAAAATGTTTGATTGCGGGTCACTCACAAACAGAAAGTTGGCTTTGGTCTTTTTAATACAGAAACCTGTTTGAATATTGGATTTAGGGTCTTTCAAATACAGAGAGTTGGCTTTTGAATACTGGATATTGATTTAGAGTTAGATTTTGAGTCCCCAACGTGAAATCATTTTTGCTGGATTTTGGTCTTTTAAATACAGAGCATCAGTTTCCAGTGTTGGATTTTTGGTCTCTCATATAGAAATTTGATGTTCACAGAGTAAGTTTCAAACATCATGAATCAGGTCCTTTAAACATGGATAGTTTGGGTTTTGAATGTTTGAATTTTGGTCTGGAAAGTCGACTTTTGAATATTTGGATCCACTTTCAATCTAAAGTTAGTTTTTGAAGGATGTATTTTTGGCCTCTTGTGCAGAGAGTTAGTTCTTATATTTCAGATGTTGGGTTCATTTTTAATCTCAGATCTGATTCTTAGTTTTCCTGCTTTTTAACTTCATTCATACTCAATTAAGAAAGTATTTTCCAGACTCTGAGCGACTCATCAGATGCTGAATCTTCGTTTTCCTATGGAATAAAATCTTCCCTCGGTGACTTTCCATTCTCTCAGCGCTGTCTCTACAGAGAGCTGATTTATAGTTTCGTCACATGTTTTGTAAGAGTCTTCGACTTGTTGCTTCACTCAGGGTGTTTTTGACTCGTTACATTCGGGGAGTCTTGGAGCAAACCTCTGAGTCACGCTGAGATCAGCGGTCAGTCCGTGTGTTTGTGAAGCAGATAACAGCTGGAGGAGGCGGCGGCGGCAGCGGCGGCGTGCAGATGGCATCAGTCTGGAGAGGAGCTGACAGAAACGATGACATCACCCTGAAAAAAACCTGCTGCAAAAACACAACGTCAGCAACTTTACTGAAATATTTAACATCCATCATCCAGACAGCGTGATTCAGGATGAGTCTTCAGGCGTTATGCAAGGAAGTTTTTCTGATTGGAGCGGTTCTTCTTGTAAACAAGCAGCTGGTTTCTCTTGTTTTTAGAGGATCTCAGTTCTTTGGGGGTTCAGGGATCAGGAGTTTCTCTTAGTTGTACAGGCTTGCTTTGATAACCGGTCTCTGTTTCTGCCACAGGCGAACATTTATTCCAGAGGACACTCTTAAAATCTGTGTTTTTATCAATGGACTTTTGAGGAGAGTCAGCTGTTTCTGCTTGAATTGTTTAGATAAGAGGACTCTCTCTGTTTGGTGGTTAGACACTTCTGGAGGCGTTTCTTAAACAGCTGTTGGATTTCTTTTTCTGACTGCTCTGGTACGTACGACAGAGTATTACTGACGAGAATAAAATCGTAAAGTAAATAAAGTCTTTAAGCTGCTTTTGCGGAGGAGGAAATGCCTGAACTGGTCAACTGCAGAGTTATCAGTGGGTATATCAGTGGGCCATTCAGAGAGCTTTTGTGGTTCCTCAAGAAACAATCCAACTGATGATCAACATTTGTGATGTAGAGGGAGTCAAGCTCCGATGAGCACCACGTCTGTCTCTGATGCCGGCACAACACCGGCAGTAACCTACACCTGCAGAGGCACCAACACCTTATGGCGTATAGATTCATACGATCAACTAAAGCCACATTAAACTATTGTTTTAAACGGCTGCATTGAGGGATTTAACCTCTGCACAGACATTTCCACCTCCTCAAAATCAGCGATTCCCTATAAGTCCCTATAAGATGCATTTCTTCATATGTCCTGATACTTATGACAATGTGACGCTGAAACGCCACAGGATTGAGTCTCTCCTTGTCTGTGAAACCAGCTACTGAAGTTCAATTCATCTAAATGCTCCACAGTGCTCATTTAAACAACAGGTTAGAGTAGACAGTAGCTATGACTTTATTCTCATAAATAATTCAGAAGTCTTACTTTTTTTTCTTAACGTGGCCCTAATACTCTGTCGTCGGTACGAACAGCAATCTTACTTCAGATTTGACCAACAATCTGAGCCACAAACTTCCCCTGCTGGGAAATCCTGATGTGTATGCCGACGTGATGCTGCAGTGTCTTCTATATTTGGCATCTTTACTTCACAAACTCAGCTGGACTTTCTCCGAAACCATCGCTGACTCCAGCCCAGAAACTCGCCGTTATCGGAGCGTGTGTGCGGGTCAAGGCAGGCATGCAGCAGGCCTGTTTTTAATCCCCACCACCACCCCCGCCCGGTCTTCCCCTTATGGTGATGTCATCCAGGAGGCATACCTGCTTAAAAACAAACCGACTGCTGCGACCCCTGACCCCTGAAGCCCCCACAATTGGGTGGGTGTCCTCACTGTTTACGATACAGACGAGATAAGAGACAGAGGAATGTTTTTGGGGGGTGAGAGGGTGAGGGTGGAGTAAGCTGATGAGTGATGGGGGCGCTGATCTCCCCCTCCCTCTGTGGGATTTCTGTGTTAAAGGGACAGAGGGAGGGTAAACAGAGGGGCTTTCCTGTTTCCAGGACTCGTATCTGTGAGAGCAGATGACCAGTTTGTGGCGTGGTCATGAAAAGTTGATTATTTACAAATTTGAACGCCCATTTAACAAAAGTACGTTTTAAATTCAGTCATACGTGGCCTCATAGGTAATATTTATCAATAAACAGTGGAAAAAAAGTAAAATTCCAGCACTTTCTCTAGATCAAGCCTCTCTATTTCACTTTTTTGTGACTCTTTTCTTGTCAAGTTGAAGTCTTTATAACTTTTTCTTTTAACCCAGTCTTTAAACCATAAGGATTTTAGCCTCTGTATTTCTGGAAGTTAAGAGAAAACATGATTAAGAAGATGATTAAGAAGATGGCAGCTCAGCTTGCAGCCCCCTCTGAAGCTCTGTCTGCTGCACAGAAATAGTGTGAACATCTAATAAACTCTGATTTTTACCATGACTTACTTCACATTTCCCATCAGATAAAAATCACTATAGGAGACGAAACCTGATATAACAGTAGCTCAGCTCGCAGCCCCTCCTGTCACCCTTTTTAAGGGTAGTGGATGGATAGGTAGATTTTTTTTTTTAATGAAACAATTTCTTCTGCCATTTCATCCGTTTAGATCAGTGTGTCTGTTGGTTTTGTTTAGGGTAATTTCTTAGTGGCAGCTCAGCTCTCAGACCCTCTCGACGACCTTTTAAAGGGTCATGGTAGGAGGATTTGAGCAGACTTTTAAGTCATAAGTCTTCTGGTTGTAAATCAGTATTATCAGTAGGTCTTTTTTTGGGGGGGGGGGGGGGGCTTTGTGGCCGCAGCTCAGCTCTCAGCCCCTCTGGATGACCTTTTTAAGGGTCATGGTAGGAGAATTTGGGCAGACTTTTAACTTAAGTTTACTTTCTGGTTGTGAATCAGTATTATTAGTGGGTCTTTTTTTATTTGGGGGAGAGGGGGTGGGGGGATAGTGGCAGCTCAGTTTGCAGCCCCTCCTGATTTCCCTCTGATTAGTGTTGCCAGGGTAAGACAGATTTTTTTTTGTAATATGAATCTACTTTTTACTAAGTTTAATTCATGTGTCTGTTTGTTACGTTCAGGCTAAGTTCTTGGCTGCAGCTCAGCTCTCAGACCCTTTTTAACAAAAAGCATGTACCACAAAGGGCCACATCTCTACTGCATTTTATCCTGTATATTTTAAGGATCCTTACCAGTTATGGACCCTTGGAAAAATCCTCTCTTTTCACCCTCATACAGCAGCGCTGAGCAGCAGGCTGGTTCAGTCAGATTTCCAGTTCTTTCTGAACTAAAACTTGATTTACTTTTAAAACTAGAAACAGAGTTTGGTGTATAAACTCTATGGCAGCTTGGTTTTACCTCTGGCTGGGATTTTGTTTTTCTTTCTTTTCCATATTTCTTGAATATTCACCGTCTGAAGTGGAAATTTTAAAACAAGGTGCCAGTGCTTAAAGCCAGCTGCTGCACCACATGTGGATTCTATCTCTGGAAAAGTACATGATGGTCTTAGTACTGTATGTGCAGTCTGACTGAAATCTAGTACTGTATAAAAATACTCACAGATTCATGGAGAGCATGTTACCTTTCTGCAGAAAAAGGTCAAATTAAAGTCGATGTGCATTGGGGCCAAAGGAGAGACAAGTATCACCTTTGTGGACGTCTAATCAAAATTATAAACGCATCTTTCTTTTAGCCGTCTGGTGACTCTGGTGTCTTTTTCATGGGAAGTGGTGTCTTGGTGTTGTCGTGTCAGACTGATTCAGTGCCCTCCTCTGCCCTGACATGTTCCAACACAACAGTGACTTCATCTCTTAAGCGTCTTCCCACCATCCTCTCCTGTCCCACAGAGCCTGGCGGGCGTCCAGGCGGAGAGGAAACGTGTTATTATGGTGTCATTCAGCCGAGTCATCCCACTGATGACAGCATGTTCGCTCACAAAAGAGCAGCTGAGGACTTAATACTTTTAACCTTTCTCCTCCCGCCACTGAATCCCTCTTTCACTCTCGTTCCGGTGAAACGTCGCCGGACAATAAAGCTGCGGCCCGGACGAGTGCAGACAGATCAGAGAGCAACAATAATGAGGTTCAGGTGGTCTGCAGGCAGGTGGTGAAGCTTTAACTCAGAGCGTGTGTTACACAGCTGAACGTTTTTGCTTCTTTTTTGTCCGTCTGCCACAAACCTTTCCACAACCAGCTGTGTTTTCAGAAACCACGTCTTACAACTTTCACAACAATTCAGTTACACCTCTGAAATATTTATAAAGGGAGGTTTTCATTCCCGTTTTTTCAAATCTTTATTTTTTAGAGGACTTTTCAGGGTCTCCTTTGGTGTCATGATGGCTGAGAGTCGGTCCAGTCTCTCAGCAGGACTCTTCTCCTACAGAGCCATGCTGTTGTCAGAATGTGGTTTGTCGTGGTTTTGCTGAAATATAAAGGCAGATGGCGCTCCATAACCTGGAGATATTGTTCAGCATTATGCTTGAAACTGGGGATGCAGCATCTATGATTTCTAGTTCTTTGTTGAAAGGGTAACTGGACTTACTTGGGACGTTTCACCCAAGTAAGTCCAGTTACCCTTTCAACAAAGAGTGCCAGATTTTGATTCATCAGACCTCAGGACAGTTCACAGACAAGTGATTGTAAGCCAACATGGTGACTCCAACTACAGAGTCCTGTTGCTCATTAACCTGGAGATATTGTTCAGCATTAATGGAGCCTTCACAAATGACATAGACTCTGATGATCCCTAATCCATCAGGGATTAGGAGCTATGCTTTAAAACTGAGGACGCATTATCTATGCTTTCCAGTTCTTCAAGTAAGTTCAGTTGTCGCCTCCAAACGAATGTCAGATTTTGATCCATCAGACAACAGGACAGTGTTCCTCCTTCTCTCAGTCCACCTTAATTCATTCAGTGCCAACAACGGATTTGGACAGATTTAAAACTCCGGCCAAAGTGGAGATTTTGGGAAACTCTGCATGTAAACGGAGAGAAACTGAGATTTGGGTAGTCAACGGCAGATTGTGCGCAGGAAAGGAGGAAGGGCTGTTGTTGTTGCTGCTATGCAGGATTCTGATTGGCTAATGTGGGCTTGAGCTTTTCGCTACACTGCCACCTACAGGTTTGATCTGCTCTAGACGACATACATACATGAGTTAGTGTAAACGAAAACTTTTCTGACGATGTAGTGGTGTGCACGCAGTTTTTTTTGTAAACAGAGAGGGGGAAATGTCCATGTATGAAAATAGGCAGGCCTATGTAAACGTAGTCCCAAATGATAGGTTCAGATACAGTGAGATTTCCTATGTCACAAATCCAAGCTCCGCCCCCGGAGCCTCGTTATACAGGCCACACTCAGAGAAGTAGAAAGGACGTTCGTGGAACAAGCATGTGTGTTAGCAGATTGCAATGCTCGTAAGAAAGTTAATTATGATATTAACTTTAATCATGTCCACAAAGACATTAGTGTCAAAGAGCTGAATAGCTCTTATGTTACCTGCTACTACAGCTTCTACTACATCAGCAATGTTAGGCTACAAGCTAGCTTAAAAATGACACAGGTAATGTGATTTTGGCTAAAAACTTCATAATCACGATTTAAAGACCACTGAGGAGACTTTAAGTAGTAAAAAAAAAAGATCGGAGTGGAACTTTAAAGCGTTTTCTGTGAAGTATGTGTGAGAGTTGCTGCTGATTCCTTATGTTGACTTCCTGGCTCAGGTGTGTCAATCTAAAGAGAGATTAAACGTCTGTCAGTCACACAGACCTCCAGGGTTTTGAGGCACTTTATCAGCTTTTATCTGGGAGAGCTTCGGTGGAGGTAGCGTGCTCCGTCATGTCTCTGGTGTTAGTTTACAAAGAAAACACAACGCGGGGCTTTGAGGGGGGGAAAAAAACCTGCTCGACTCCCACTGAGGCGGTTCGAAGTGTACTCCGTGTTATTATCAGAGGAGGACATATTTCACCCTGATACAGCCCAGACAGAGGAAAAGTTTTGATAGCACTCAGGACGAGGAGGAGGAGGAAGCAAAGCTGCCGGTAATCCCGGTACTTTAAAATCACTCTGAGGGGGATTAATCATTCAGTCTGAATCAGATGTTTGAGCTGGTGCCAGGTATGACAAAACCCCAGAGTTACTGATCACTGAAAGGAAAACGTAATGAGAGGGCAGAGGAGGAGGAGGCAGAGCTCAGCTCAAACCTTTCAACTCTGAAACTGCTAAAAAAGTGCAAAAAAGTGCACTCATGAGCAACGTTATTGTGCCAGACCTTTGTTACACATTCTTCCTGATCAGTTAATGTAATTTTGCAAGTGTGCAGGAGTTTTGAAAAAATTTAAAGTATCACTTCTTTCTTTTGAAATGGATGTGCAAAGACATTTTTCTTCTTTTACTCTGAAACTGAAAAAAATTGCAAACAAAAGCCATTAAAGCAACAACCAAAAACCACTTATTAGATATTATGCTCTCATATTTTACATGAACACACAATAATCCTTCAGGAGTCCAAGGATTTTCGACATTTTTTCACCTAAAAGACAGTTCCCACCGGACACTCAGAGGCCACGCCCCAATTGTACATAACTTTAAGCCTTGATAAAATTATTGAAAGTTGAGATATACAAAAAAAATCAGCCCCTGTGGAGATGAACAAAATAAAAAACTCACTATAGAAACCAAAACTGATCTTATACCATCCTGCTAACATGTTTATTTCAGCTGCAAAGATCAGCATTTTAATACAGCAGTCTATGAGGGTTGACTCACTTTGGGGGTCTGCTTCAAGTGGACACTAGTGGAACTGCAACCTTCAGGATTTTCAAACAGAAAACAGTTTGCAGCATGAATCTTCCACATTTTTACTCTATCTTTGTTTAATTTTGTTGTTTAATTTAGAAGTAGATTTATTTACACGTTTAGTAGTGACCACTCTTGTCCTGAATTTGACCTTCTCCTCGCCCAGCCTCTATCAGAGAGTTTCTGACCCACATCCAGCTGTTCTCCGCCCTCTTCACCTTCATCCCTTCCCTCGTTTCCTCTCTGCTCGTCCTCTCGATCCTTACAGGAAGGACAGTGAGAGAAAACGGAGGAAGAGAAGAGAAGTGATGTAAAGAAGTGTAAAGGTTATCGGTGTCCTCTGTGACCGCCCACTCATAGATTTTCACCGACCTGTTATTTTTCCAGCCGGTCAGAGATTTTGGGGTTGGGGTTGAGACTCTGGATGTGATATTGTTGTGTTTGAGCCAGAAACAGGACTGCTGATTCAGCAACTTTGATTCTAGTGAAGTGGATCCGCTGACAGAGACAGATTTATCGAGACCTGAACCAGAATCCTCTGAACTGGGTAGTCTGTCTATCAAATCAGCATCCCATAATATCACTGTTCTCAAGCATTCAAGCCTCACTGTGTATCCCAGCATGCTTTGAGCAAACGCCTTAATCATTGTCACATACGAGGTCCAGGCTGCGGCTCGTACCTTCCCATAAACTCAACCTGAGGAGGTGTTAGGACCAAAGTCGGGGTCAGAGGTCAAAGTGTGTCCCACCTACATGGCCCGTCTGTTAAAGAAAGTGAAGGCTGGTGAAACAGATGGAGTCTGAGAGCCATTAGGGCTCTATTAGTGACCCCGGGGCCAAATGTGAGTTTAGTAACAGGACACCGACAGCAGCCACATGGAGCTGATTGACCTGTCAGGACCTAAACCAGCTCCTTTGGGACTGAAACGGATTAAACAGCAACAGACGCCCCAGACCGGGATCTGAGGTTTTCTGATGAACTCATGAAGTCAGAGCGAAAACAGAGATGAACCAAAGTTTGATGATTAAAGAAGAAACTGATCCTCCTTATTCTGTGATAATTGACATCCAGGGACCCCGGTTAAAACTCAAGCCGAAAACAAACAGGATCTGTATCAAGCATTGGGTATCGCATACAGGATGCGTATTTGGAGCGTAGCAGCAGCGTAGTCAATCAATCAAATCAATCAAATTTTATTTATATAGCACCTATTCACAACAGTCGTCATCCCAAGACTCTTTCCAAAGAACAAGAGCAGGTCTAGACCACGCTCACTGTTTGATGAATTATCAAAACCCAACCTAAGATGAGATTTGGCCCATCTCATCTTACATGAGTGACAGTGGTGAGGAAAAACTTCCTTTTAACAGGCAGAAACCTTGGGTAGGACCAGACTCATGCTAGAGAGCCACCAGGCCGCAGCAGCGTAGTTCAGCCGCGGTCAGCTGGGCTCAGTCTAGAGGAAACAACCTGCTCACTACAGGTCGTTTTTCCTTTCTGTGGTCGATTTCCTGATAATTTGGATATAATTCAGTGACTGTTGAGCCTCTACTGTCTGTGAAAAAGCTTTAAGTGATTTTACAGTTTGTGTTTTTGCAGGTTTACTCGTGTTTAATAAAGTAAACTCTGTTCCTTTATTCTGTTACCTTCAGACAGAGTTAGCAGTTCAAAGTCCTGTTGGGGTCCACATGGATCAGGGATTGACCATCAGATTGTTCTGTGTTACTGATAAATCCAGAACCAGGAAGGATTTCTCATCTACACAAACTGATACACAGTCTGGAGTTCACAGATGGTGTTTTATTTTGAAATACCGGATGACAAGCGTGCTTGACTTCCTGTCAAGGACGATCTTCTCTGTATGGATTGACACGCGTTGGAAGCGTGGAGCAGCAAAAATAGACTTGTCTAATATCTTACGCAGTGCTGCTCTCGATACGACGCTGCTGCCACGCTCCAAATACACATCCTGTATGTTTCAGCCTTTATTTTATTCAGTTCCTGTTTGTGTGAAATGATCATCTCCCATAGAAATAAGGCAGATAACTAATAACAACATGAAAACCCAAGGATGTCCCTCAGATCCAACAGGTCTGTGGTGATTCCCACACCCTGAAAAAGAGCTCATATTATCCCACCAGGGTGAATTTGCTCTCAGCCACCAAACACAATCTGTTCATCGTGATCCTGTTCATCATATCTGACAAATAAAGATCCAGATTGTTTGTAATAACCGCTGACACTGGAGGGGAACAGCACGTGTGTTTATCCGGCGCATAAACACTCGGCGTCGTTCTTCATCTGAAGTCTGACGGGTGTTTCTAACAGAGACTTTGTAGAGACAGGGAGGAGGTCTGAGAGACAGTCATGAGTCAGGAGTGTGAGACAGAGGCGGTGTGATGTGGACAAATGGTTCTCATTTAGACTTTTATGGTTTCCAAACCGATCCGGAGACCTCATCTTTAAGGAGGACCAGAACCACCCTGAAAAACCAGGACTCCAACAGATTGATCCAGTATGAACGTCACTGACTTCGCTCATTTTTAAGACTTTTTTGTAATTTTTTCTTTTTTATTTGTATTTCCACTTCTTAGTGTTTAATTTAGCTCCTTAGTTTCATCTCCAGATTTACGTTTTTGTGTCTTTTTCTTTTCGTGTCAGCGCCAACATGTTATCTTCAACCCATACTACCGCACATGACATTGCCAGGTTCAATACTGAGTGACGTAACTTTATTATACTTGAAAAGTCACTAAATTTTCTCTTTGTGTACTTCTCTCCAGGCTGACGGCTCAGAGGAGCATCGAGGACGCCGAGGAGGTGGAGAGGGAGCGACGCCGGAGAGCTCGTGAAGCTACGCGCTGGACAAACGGCGACTCGCTTACTGATGACTTATCGCCAGATCACCAGACACCGGCAGAGGAGTGCATGTAAGTTCAGACCCAGAAACAGCTCAGTATGAACTGGTTTACAGTCGGATAAGAAAGGAAAAAAACTCAGTTTATATGTGTGTGAAGTTACACGACTGAGCCGAGATCATGGGTGTTACTTTTTACACAGCTCAGCAGTCATGAGGTTAGCTCTGAAAGGTGGGGTAGTCAGGATCTGAGGGGAACCAGTTTTTGGGAGAAATCTTTTACCCCGTCAGGTCCCTGAGTGGAGGGTTCATTTCCTTGTCTGGAGTCTAAGTGTTCAGCCAATCAGAAGCACCCAAATCCAACCAATCTTAAACGCACGGGGCATTGGGAATTACGTCGTGCTTGACTGCATGTTGCTGATTAAGCGGCGCACCTCCTGACAAGTGTGATGGAAATGACTCCTGTGCTGCAAACCTCAACATGTTTCCAGACTTCACTTTTCTCTGTGTGCGCTCTGAAGTCTTTTTCTTCTTCTTAGTGTTGATATTTGTCAAACTCCCACACGGCTACGTCATCTTTAATTTAAGCTCATCCGTCCCTGTTTATCTTAAAGTTCTTGTCTGCACCATCAGGCCAAAGGTGGTTCCACTTTCCCGTGTAATGTCACCCACATAAGGAAGCCGATATGACGTGAAACACTGGCTGAATTCCTCGTCTGTGTAATCATGGGAAACCAGGAAGTTATTAATTGCCGAACATTATTCATTCATCTCCCAAACGTCCAACGACCTCCTCGCTGCAAACATCGCGTGACTGTTTGTTCTCGGTCTGGTCTGGTGATGAGTGCGGGTCGAAAGAGTTTGTCGTCATGATTCCCAGCTGTGGAAGTCGGCGCTCTCTCTTCCTCCTCTCCTCCTCTTCCTCGTACTCGCCGGTTTACTGGTTTCATGCATGTTTAGTTACACGACACGAATGTCTCCACTGGGAAAAGCTGCAAATAACCCCTTCCCTCCCACAGCGGTGGTGGTGGTGGTGATGTGAAGACGAACACACAGCTGCCTTCTCATTACACAACCTACCAAGAATGTTTACTACAAGGCTTCTCCAGGATAAACCACCACCATGTCAAAGCTTGTGTTTCAGCTGCTGGCTTTTCATTTCACAAAACCAAATTACAGCTCACACCTCCAACACCTTCTCCTCTGTCACATCTCAGCCGCTTTCGGGCTGCAGCGACCCGACATGCAGCTCCTCTGCAGCCTGTAATTTAGAAGTTTGTGGAGCTGATGTAATGCTGTTTTTGTCAAGTCTCTGCTCTGATTTCTCCTCTCACAGGAGGTCAGGGTTAAGTTCTGGAAGATTTCATATCCACAGAAGTTTTTGTTTAGTCTCGGGCAGCAGGTACTGAAAAATGAAGTCGGTACAAAGCAATTCCTCTCATGTCCACTTGAGGCCGACCTCAAAAGTGAGTCAATCCCAAATGGGCCTCATGCGAAGTTTAGTTTCCAGCAGAAACCTGAAAACGTAGAGATCTAATTTGACTGTTTTTCACGTCTCTTAAATCTGACTTTGAGGAATCAGACAGTGAGTAACGCAGTAAGATTACATAAAGCAGAGAGGTGGAGGTGTGTCCTGACGGAGGTTTCTCATCATCACAACGTGTCAAAACCTCGTCAGACTCACTCCTGCCAGGAATCGGAGCAGGTGGCGACGTTACACACAAACAGAAGCATCGCTGCTCGTTAAAGCCGATCAGCCGCTGTGAGATCATGCAGAGACTCCCATCATGCAGCGGGGGGCTCTGTGGGTGGGGCCGAGCGTCTTAATCATCTGGGGAATGTGGAGTGAATTCCTTTCTGCCAGTTCCTGGGAACAAAACACTTTGATTTCTTTGATTCAGTGTCGGGTTCGACCAGAAAAATGAGCGCACAGATACGTTCACTTTTTTAAAGACTCTTTCTTACAGGTTCAAACATCAGATTAAAGGAGAAATTAGATTAAACAGCAAGTTTCTGCAGCAGAGGTTTCTGTCAGGACTCATCTCCAACTCTGTTCTTTATCACCGCGTGATCCTCCTCTCATCATGGGAGGAAGATTCCCGCAAATACAACATTTATGAGCCGAGTTTGAGATTTTTAGAATTCTGGGATTAGAATCAGAACTAATCAGTTTGATCCTAGAAAACCGGGATTAAAATCTGAATTCTGACTTTGACTTTAGAATTCCAAGATTAATCTCATAAGTGACTCAAAATGACTTTGATCTTAGAATTCTGAGAAAAAAAGGCAGAAATTTGACTCAATCTCATAAATTTGATTTAAGTGCCATTAAGATCAAAGTCAAAATTCTGAGATTAAATTATGAATTCTGACTTTATTCTCACAATTTTTATTCAGACCCCAAAGATCTTAGGAAAAAGTCAGAAATCAAAAGAATTTGAGATCTCAAAAGGTCAAATATTTAGTTTAATTTCAGACACTTTTGTCAGAGTTTTGAAAGAAAAAAATAGACCTCTATTTTTTTCCTTCTTGCCTGCATTTATGTCCCTCCAGAAGCTCAAACAGCAGCATGAATTACTTTATTTTGACATTTTGTCCGTAAACAGATGGGTGGTTTTTTGGGAAATGTTAAAAACTGCAGCAGCTGCAGCGTGTTTACGATCCTTTTAAAATCAGGTGTAGGAAGTTAAATGTTCCAGCTGCAGAAACATCACCTGTTGGTTTGTTAAGGTCTGTTTTGAAGCTTAAAATTTGGTGCTTTGGCCATTTTCATCATGTTTTAGGAACCAGAAGTGACCATATGTGAGTGAGGGAAAGGTGAGAGGTATTTCGACACCTTTACTCATCACTTTGAGAGATCACAGACTTGGCAAACTCAATGTCGCCTCATGATCTTTTTGACTCTAAATTTGACCATTACTTACAAAATAAATGTGTTGTTGTGAGGAAGGTTTAAAATTAAAGATTCAGCATCAAGGTCTTGAGAAAAAGTCTCACTGAGCGTAACTTGAAATATGCAAAAGAAAAGTGCAGCTCTGGCAACAACCTGACGTACAAATGAATTAACTCTGGAGACCACATGTGAAAAACAAAAACTTGGACTAAACCTCAACAGTAATGTTTGTTTTCCCGTCAGGTTTCCATGTCCTGTTTTGGCTGGTTATTGTTTCCAGCTGTGTCGGCGGCTAATCAAACAGACGTCAGCTCCAGCTGTCTGCTAATAACTCTGATAAATGAAGCTCATCAGGAAAGAAATGAATTCCTCCGTTTCATCTTATGGATTTAGAGTAACGTCGCTGAAACATGTCAGATGTGAAACTGGGAGAAAGAGCAGACGTAAAAAGATCTCACGTTGAGAAACTTACGTCCATATTTCTCTTTTACTTGAATAATTCAGGGGGAATGCTACAGAGCGATTTCTGGACATTTTTGAGCAAATTCAGCAAATAAAGTTCGTGTTTGGTCTGTTACTGGAAGTGTCCCATCTACCAACATGGAGAATGAGGCAAGGTTCATGGCCAGCCAGTAGAGGGAGCTCTAAATACTTCGGTGTCACTTTTATGTGACAGTCATCTTGATAGTCCATGGGTTGGTGTAAATATAAGTTTGATTCCTTCCTGTTTAGTGTCTTCGTGAATCTCGTACTGAGTTTCACAAGCTCTCTTTCTAGTCGTGACAAGAACTGTTTGTTGAAAAGTTATGGGATCTTGAAGACTTATTGACTCTGCCACTTCATCCTCAGGTACGATGGTGGACTAAAGCCGAGCAGCTCCCCGTCCCTGGAGGAGGACGAAGGCTTCAGTGACTGGACTCAGCGCAGAGAGAAGCGGAGGCAGCAACGCCTGCAGGAGCTCAGCCAGGGAGGCGAGGAGGAGGAGGAGGAAGAGGTCATGTTCAACAAAACTGTGCCCACAAAGACCTCGATCACATCGTCCAGCCGGGTCCAGAGACAGGAGCAAGAGAAGGTCGAGAGGACCAGGATGGAGATGGAGAGGAGGAAGGAACATGAGGAGGAGGCAAGGAGGGAGAAAGAGAGGGAGGAAGAGGAGGAGAAGAGGAAGAGAGAGGAGATGTTGAGGAACAGGAAGGAGGAAAGTCGGAGACCGAATACAGAGGTGAGAGTTTCGAATACTTGGAGGGTTTCAGTCAACTCTTAAAAGTTTTTAAAGACAAGTCCAGACAAGCCTTCAAATAAAATTCAGAAGTTCTGAACTCGGTTGAAGAGAAGCTTCATTGTGTTAAATTTCTTTTGTCCAGGTGGAGAAGAGAAAAGAAGTGAAAATCTCCTACACATCCAAGGTTTTCCTCCAACAAGAGCCGAAACACAACAACTCCAACGGAAGCGCAACCAGTGACGAAGTGATGCTCCACACCAAGAACAAGATGAAACGGGCCAACAGGTGCGAACAAGTCCTCCTTATGGGGTCAGAGGAAAACTGACCATGAGGCACAAAGGGGGTTTAGGTCCGGGGTCATTTGTCTGAGCAGCATCCTACCCAGAAGACCAAATACAGGTCTGTGAACGTGTAGATGTTTTGAAACCTCACTGTTGTCTTCATATGCAGCAGAACCGCAGATCCAGAGGAGTCCGAGGCCATCCTGGAGTCAGAGCAGCGCCTGGAGAAGATCCGGCAGAGCCTCCAACAGAAGGAGAGCCAAGAGCTGGAGCAGCTCAGACACCGGCAGGTCGAGGCCGAGCAGGAACTGGAAGAGCTGAAGAGGAGGAGGGAGGAGAGACGCCAAGTCCGGGAAGAGGAGGAGCGTCGGAGGCAGGAGGAAGAGCAGTACCGTTTGGCCAAAGAGGAGGTAACCAGAACCTTCTTAAGTATCTACACCCGTGTTTAGAGGGACACGTGTGAACGGATCGAGTCCAGAGTCTTCTTTGGGAAACCCGTCCATGAGGTCCTTTGATTCGGGATTGTGTCGGTGTTTCAGAGTTCTAGTTTTCCAAGGTCCTGAGACCAGAGTTCCTCCACAGTTACCAGGGTTCTCATGTTCCAGGGTTCTTGATCCAAAAGGCAAATGGACTCGGTCAACCAACTGCCTTTGGGTCAAGCTTTGGAAAACCATGACCTGGTTTATAGAGACTTCTTCTTGGGTCTCTTGGTTTTTTCTGTAGTTTGTAACCCCGTCAAAGAGAGGTGGACTTAACGTCATTTAACCTGATCTGACAGGAGGAGAGGAGGCAGATGAAGGAGGACATCGAGAGGAGGAGGATGGAGGCTGCAGAGAGGATGAAGAGCCTGAGCACATCCAGCGTAGACGGAGACGAGAAGTTCAGTCCGTTCAGTCCCAAAGCTTCCACACACAAGGTAAAGACCACCTGAGGACTTCATCTCCACAGAGCAGGTTACAAATGACTGAGTGACTTTGTTTATGACTCACTGATGAACTTTGTTGTTATCTTCACAGCTGCTGGTTTCAGACTCAGTTTGAAAGTTGCATGTGTGTGTAAATGTGTGTATTTAAAGCGGCACCAGGTGAAGCATGGTGTGTACTCAGAGAGTTTTGAACGATTAAAGGGATATTCTGACATAAATTTAGAGTCAGACACCTCCTCAAGAGATGAATGTTGCCGACCGCTTGCTTCTAGTTAAGAGAATATCCCTTTAAGTTTGATTTGGGAACATCCATTCAGGCTGCAGGGAACTATTTATCGTGAAAGTCCTGGAAAAAGTTTGCTCTTCTGGGCACAGGATGATGGTTTGAGCGGACAGACATGAAGCTCTCTTCTGTATTTTAAATCATAATTGTTGATGTGCATGACACTGCATGTGTGCTCTGCACCTGCGCACCTCCTGGTTTTTCTTTTTACCACGTTAAACTGAGCGCTGACTCAGCAGAAATGTCACGAGTTTAAGGAACATCTGAAAATTTACAACTAAAGCTCCAAACTTACCAACAAAATCAGACTGAATGAAGAAGAAAACTGAGACTTTTTGAGAAACTCTGAGCTTTAATTGTTTATCAGGATTTTCAGGTCCTCAGTTTGTCACGTGTGTCTTTGTCGTATTTTTGCTGCATGTTAATAGACGCTGTTTTACGTTAGATTTCTAGCGATGGACCGACAGACTTCAGCTTTTATGTTAAAGTCGTTTCCTTACCGTGAAGAAGTCCTTTATCAAAAATCAAACTTGGAGAATATCTGCTGATATCTAAATGGTTTCTTCACCAACTGGATCTTTCTCTTGGTTTTATCAAACATTAGAAATAACAGAAGATGAGCCTCATAACAGTGTCATGTTTTGATTTTCTCTTTCAGATCACAGAGAGGACGGAGTCTCTGAACCGCTCGCTGAAGAAAAGGTAAAAACCCTCAACTTTAAAAAACGTAGAAAGATCAGAAATGGTTCTTCTTAATCCAGAGAAGAATGTGGAGTCCCTCAGGGGTCGATATCAAGCCCAGTTTTTTATTCTCTCTACATGCTACTGCTTACCTACAGAGACACAGGGACGGGGGACTTGAGTTTGAGACTTGGACTGAAGTGGTTCATAAGTCGCACACTAACAAGACTTCAGTGTGACTTGGACAGGGGTGGAGTCAGGGTATAGTTAAGGGTGCCCTAGCCCCAGCTTTAGGGGTGCCCCCCTCTCCCTGAAATTTGACTCGCCATCCCAAAATCCCAAAATATGATTGGACATTTGCATTATTAAAAATAAAACTTAAGCTGCAATCGACTATTTTGGCTAACAGCTGTAATTTAAGGGGTTTAAGATTTAAGATCGGAAATTTAGCTCAGATGTCGCGTCTTTGTTGAGTTACTTGATCTTTAAGTGGGTTTCCTGAAAGGCGCTATATAAATGTAAGATATTATTATCATTATTATTAAATAACATGATGTTGAAAAAATGGTAATATTTTGTTTATTTTATGATTACACAACTTTAATTTGTTATTTATTTGGTGCTATGATGGACTTGGTCAGATAAACCACTCAGACTTGAGGTTTGACCTGCAAAAACTGACTTGTGCCCATCCGCGCAAAGACTCACAGTTTCACTCTACTGATGCGAGAGGAAACATGAGGTCTCCAGTTTTTTCCAATCAGGTCTTGGAAACCCTCAACCAGTTATTGCTGCTGGTTTCTCCGTGTTTCTCACGGTCCATTTATCTTGGAGGTAAGCACTGATGAAGAGGGTCAGAGGTCACCTCTCGTCCTCTCTCTGAGCGTCCCCCTCCTCAGCTCAGATTTATGTCCTGGATTTAACTCCGTCCAGATGCAGGCGACTGTCTTCTCTCTGTTTTCTCTGACGGCTTGGTGAGGTACAGTGGCTCCAGGCCGTCTGAGGAGATCTCAGCAGCAAAGGAACCTCCATCTAGATGTTTTTATTCTTTAAAGTCCCACTCTGATCATTTTTTTCTTACTTGAAGTGTTCTCAATGGTCTATAAATTGTGATTATGAAATTTTTAGCTAAAATCACGTTACCTGTATCATTTTTAAGAACTTTTCTTCTGCAGAGCTCCAGTAGCTCATTAGCAATTCACCTCTGAGTCGTGGGCGGAGACAGCGCTGCTCTGCACAGTCCTTTTCACGCTAGCTTGTAGCCTAACATTGCCGGTGTAGTCGAAGAAGCAGGTAACACTAATGTCTTTGGGGACATGATGGAAGTTAATATCATAATTGACTTTCTTACGAACATTGCAACCTGCTAACGCACACGCTTGTTCCACGATCGTCCTCTCTACTTCTACGACTCTGCCCTGCATAGCGGGGCTCTGGGGGCGGAGCTTCGATTTGTGACATAGGAAATCTCACTGTGTCTGATCCTGCCGTTTGAGTCTGCCAGAGATTCACAGAGAATTTTAATGCAGAAATACTCAGAAAAGTAATTTCACACTTAAGTATGTATGTAAAAGTATTCAGTAAATTTGGACTGAGGCAGCGCTGCTTTAAAACACATCTGACTCTGTAGTAGAAATCACCGCATGGGCTCAAAATCTATTCCAGAAACCATTGTCTGTGAAAACAGTTTATCACTGCGTAGATAAATGAGGTTTAAACTGAACCAGGCAAAGAGAAAACCAGATAGAAACCTGGTCCAGAAACACTAGAAACCTCTCTGGAACGTGGACTGAGCAGAAGAGGAAACTTTTACTTCAACATCCTTTTTGGAAATCATGGACTCAGCATCCTCGAACTCTAGTCGGTAGATGGACCTCCCAGTTTGGTCTCAGCTCCCAGTCCAAATCCAGCATCCCTGATGGTACAGGGGATCATCAGAAATCATGAACAATACCTACAGCAACATCTGCTGCCATCCAGACAATGACCTTTTTAGGGAAGACCTTCATATGATCCCAAACCACATTCTGACAATAGGAATTACAACAGCATGGCTCTGTAGGAGAAGAGTCCTGCTGAGAAACTGAACTGATGTGGTCCTGACTTGTCTCTACATGCTGTAAAATTGGGTTAAAAAAAAGGTGTAACTTGCTCTAAAAGAGGAATCCAGGTTTATGTGGTCAGAGTGTTTCCTTTGAGTCTAACTGATGGTGTTTGTTTTTGTGTCTTTTTCTGTAAATCAGTAACAGCTTTAAGAAGACGCAGCCTCTCGTCCTGCTGGCCAAGATCGACGACAAGATGGAGCAGTACGCACACGCCGTGGAGGTCAGTTCACACACACAGACACTCAAAATAAAACCACACACACAGCACTGAAAAGACGTGTTCATGAAGACCGGAAAAAGTGCAATTTTAGCAGCAGAGGAACAAAAGTCAGGCGCACTCACAGCAGTTGAACTTTCGGACCTTCATTGTTTAAAACCAGCTGAGAGGCAGAAAGCCGCTCTGACCCTTTTTGTGCCGCGTTCACAAACCTCCACAAATCTGCAGCACCTGAGCAACGACACCAGAGCAGAGGGTCAGACAGATATACGAGGGGACGCTCGGAGCGCTTTACTTTTATCTTTCCTCTCCTCTGTTTTCACTCCTCACCTCGGGCGGTTCTCAGGCTGATAAACGGCTCAGTGAGTAACCCGAGGTTCACACACAGAGACTCTTATTTATGGAGCGCGTCAGATATGATCTGAGTTTTAACAATGTGCAGTAAAGTAGAGGAAAACCAGGGTCAACAAAACAATAAATATACTATCAGTTAATCCTTTGTCTTAAACTACGTATTTTTAGAGTACAGGAGTCCAAGTCTGCCAACGTTAGAATCTATTCCAACTGAGTAAAGAACTAAAACATGAAGTTTAAAACATGAAAATCATTCATCCTCAATTTTTAAAATTGAATTTTAATTGATAAAATATTTGAGTTCTTCAAATTCAGACTGAAGCTGATTTGTTTTCTCGTTATTGTTCCCCTAAATTCAAAACTAGTTCCAGAAGTTCCATCACTTTTTATTTTTTTCTTCTTCCTAAATACAATTAAATAATTACAATGAAATCTAAACATAATAATCTGACCCTGCCTGCAGTATGGAAGCCCAAACTTGCCAATTTCACAACCTATCAGTTGTTCGCCTGTACTAATGTTGTTATACTCTGACTCAGCGTTGAAGTTTTTGTTGTTTCCAGAACTCTCAGGAGTCTCGGACAGTGAAGGCGTCACTGAGCGACCTGCCCAGCTCACCTGAGGTCGCCTCGAAGAAGAACCTGTTTGAGGCCGGAGACGCCTGGAGTCAGAGTCCCGGCAGGGGAGCGAGCTGCAAGGTGAGAAAACACAGAGAGACTTGGTTTTATCTGGTTCTAGTTCATCATTTAACCCTTTAAAAAAGTTTGAAGAGTTTTGAATCAGTGGACGGATCTTTGAAATTCAAAGACAAAAACTGTTTTATAAAGTTTTTGTAATGCAACAAATGCTCAACCATAAATAACCAGCACATCTCCATTAATTTTCAGGAAGTAATGCAAAGATACGACATGAATTCTGCAGAAATAAAACTACATTTTTTATTTGTTGATTCAGGACACTGAGGGGCTGAAGGTGGGCGTGGCTAACCGGATCACTCAGTGGGTTAAAGGGTCTGATGGCAGCAGACAGTCTCCATGTAAACCAGCAGTAAGTCACAACATTACGGTTAGCTCCTCTTTCAGCTCACTCACTCCTCTCTGTGTGGTGATGTGTTCAAGTGCAGCCTCCGAGTCTGTAACTTCAGGTTTCCCTCTAGTGGAGGAATGAAATACAGCAATGACAAACAGCTGCTTTCTTTGTGGTTTATTTTAAGAGTTGATAACAATTTAGTGTAAAGTCCAGAAAAATGTGACGGTTTTGTTTTTAATGATGCAGCTCGCTCTAAAAACATCAGGACATTTTCAGGAGTTTGGTGCATGAATGAAAAAAGTCTTATTATATTCTGACCAAAAGAGGCTGTGTCGATTTTTTTATCAGGATGTGAAGCCCGGAGATGTGATGCAGAAGAAGAACATGTGGGAGGGAATCAGAGACTCTTCAGAGCGACACGGACAGAAAGCCAAGGTGAGCGCACAAACACACAAAAACACACAAAACCAAACAAACACACGCTTTAAGACTAGAAACTACACATTTCTGCTGTATTAACCTCTAAAGTTGCACGTAAATCTAATTGTATCAGTCAAATGTGGGTCTGAATGTCTCTTTATTTTATTAAAACTTTAATTGCCTTAAAAAGTGTGTTTAATGTTTAAAATGAAGGTTCAGACTGTTGCTTTATATCCTGTAGTGTTGGAGGCCAGAAAACACATGATGCATAACAGTCAATAAACTTTGTCTTTTCTCTCTTCAGGGTTCAGCAGCCGGTAAAAAGTACAAGTTTGTCGTCACGGGTCACGGAAAATATGAAAAGATCCCCGTGGACGACGAGGAGGACGCAGGAGAGTTCAGCAACGGAAAATCTGGTAAGATTTCCGCTCTCATAGATTTGTTCGACAAAATAAGAAAACCGTTTATTTCTGACTGCAAACAGCAGCAGCCTCCACCTACCTTTGATCGACCTTCAGCCTCCTCGCAAATACCCGCAGTGTCAGTCTCAGATATTAATAAGACTTTAAAAACTTCAAAACTAAATAAAAAGATAAACTTCAAAACTTATAAAAAAATTCACTCACCTTGCGTGTGGTTTTCGCTGCTTCTCTATTCAGCCTCAAGTGGACAACCTGAAAACTGCAGGTTTTAACTCTTCCGCCTCAGCTAAAGGAGTCAAACTTCATTTGTCGCATCACCTGATTTTAATCTTTTTAGTTTTTTCATTTTCTTCAGAAGCAGCCCGACCAAAGCTTGTAATAGAAACACAACCAGGGACTCAAATACAGAGTTTAAGTTAATACCTGTACACCGTCTGTTGCTTTGTACCCATCTTCAGTCGGGGTGCACAGTCCACATTAAACCAAACCGACTTATTTGTTACCTTTTTTCGTTGTTTGTTGCACCGACGGGGGAACAGAGAGGCTCGACATCCAGAACTGTCTTTGCTCCATTTGGTCCGTCACTTCTTTAATGGCTTGTTCGCTGAAGTGCTGACTCCCAAAAATAACTGCTGTTTACTCTCGTTACTGGACTAACAGTACTGCAAAGGCATGTCAGATATGTCAAAGCTTTATGGTGACGTGTGAATTAATCTGTAGTGAACCAGAGCTGCTCCAACCTTCATTATTATCTTTCCATTATTTTCTAATGTGTAACACAAGTTTATCAAAGATGACTCATTTGTTCCGTTCAGGTTCATTCACATGAAAACATCAGAAACATGATGAGGGAAATGTTTCCCACTAAAGTTAATCATAAAAATTAGAAGTTATTAAAAAGATTGTTGTTGTGACCATTAATTAAACAAGTCTTAATCTATTTAACACTTTTTATCATCTTGTAAGACTTAACCTGAGGCTAGAACAACATTTGGAATAAAAATGAATGTTTTGATGACCTGTAAGTAATTTCTACAACAATATCTCTTTTTTAATAGTATCCCTGCCGGTACACTAAAATATGGTGGCAATTTGCGACAGCCTAAACGATGTGCAGAAATATGCATGCAAGAGCTCAAATATATAGAAAAACATGCTGCAAAAAAGCTGAAACAAACACATGAATGACAAAAGTACTGCAAGTAAAAAATACACAAAGATTAAAAGCCACTGATAATCAAGAGAAAAGTGGTAAAGGTGATTTACACAGCGCCCCTACAGGCTTGGTGAACCTTAGTTAAAAAGTCTTACTTATCTTCAGCAGCACGTTTTAGCTTTTTGCTGCATTTTTATTTGTAAGGCGCCTCCAGCATTCGTTTTGCACTTTTTCAGAGTGTTTTTGAAGCTGTGTTATTTCTGCATTTGAAGCAGGTATTTTTCTTACAAAGATCATTCAGGCCGTTTGCAGATCGTTTGCCCCCATCAGCCACAACTTCGAGCCACTTATTTCCTCAAAATGTCGTTTGTTATCCTCCATGATATTTTACATTTTGTATAAAAGTTTTATCAGGTTTACCAACATAAGTTTTTAGCTTCATACCCAAATATTTATATTTGTGAGTCAACAGTTTGTATGAACCACAAACACACACCAAAAAGGACAAATGAGAAGCTCTGAAAGTTCCTTAAAACAGAAACGCTTTAATCTGAAGTCTCGTCTGAAGGACTTTAAGACAAAAGTAGCTCTCTTTCTTTCTTTCTTTTTCTTTCTTTCTGTCCGGTGAATCCACAAAAATAAACATTTAACATCCAGACAACCAGTCACACAAATGCAACATGAAGCACTTGTCAAGTAAAAAGTTCAGGCCGACTTTCTCTACCACACTGCCACAAACATCATTCGATTCACACAAAGACTAGACCTGTACATAATTCCTGAAGCTAAGATTTCTGCACCTGTACATAAAACACGTAAAATCACTTTTTTTTTCTCTTTACATTTTTATCTTGGCACTTAACGATTCATAAGTTTTAAAAGCTTAAGTAGACGTGAACCCCCTGGCTGTTCTATTAAAGTCTTTTGGTTCCTCTTCTTTACCTTTCCGCCCAATCAAACCCATTTCAAAAACAGTTGAAATCTTCGTTACCGGCCTGGATGCCGCCTCTCTGAGCTTTTTGGCGTCAAACTTTGGGCTAAAAAGAAGCACAGGCAGCCGGTGCGCAAACGAAGGGATCTCTTTTGGCTCATCTGTTTTCTCCTCCGTCTTATCCTCCTCGCTTTTGTTCAACTCGATCTGGTGCATGATGTTCTCTTTGGTGGAAAACATCTGGAAGAGGACGGCGTCCCACATCTTAGTTGCCTTAGGAGCGTCTTTGGTTTGGTTCTCGTCCTGAGTGCCGGGCTTGTCGGCGACCTTCTCTTCAACCTTCTTCCCCTCACTCTGGTCCGTCCCTGTGGTCTCCTTCTCAGTGCCTATCTCTGGGAATTTGGGCTCCTCCTGCTCCACCACCATGTGCTTTTTGAGTCTAGACCACCCGCTCAATTTGGATTTCAATCCCTTTGGCTTTTGTAAGACCTTGAGAAGGGGCTCAGCTGCAGGGAGGGGTTCTTCGACTTCCTTCTTCTCAGGTGCAGGTTTACCTGCTGTAGCTGATTCTGCCATCTTGCCTTTTCCTTTTTCTTCAGGCACAGAAGGAGCCGCAGTTCTCGGCTCTGTGACTTCTGTCTTAGTCTTGGCAGCAGCTGCAGGTTTTGTTGGCTCTACCTTATCTGAGACGTCAGCTTTTGTCTGAATTCCAGACTTCTGCTCAGCAGGCTGGACTTTATCTTTGCCTAAAAGTTTTCTTACTGCCTTCAGAGGATCCTGGTCGTCACCTTTGGGTGGAGGATGCTTGGCTTCAGAGACTTTTGGCTTTGGTTTGGCGACGTCTTGCACAGGTAGTGCCACAATCTTCTTCTCAGGAGTTTTCGCCTCGACTGTTGGTGGTGCAGCTTTGGGTATTTCTTTAATCACAGCTTTTTCTTGTTTTGCCACAACCTGACTGGACACCATACTTGTCTCTGGTGTTCCTGGGGAGTCAGATGCCTGAGAAACAACAATAACTGGCACCGAGGGGGTGGCTGCAACCTTCTTGTCCGCAACAACCTTGGGGGTTTCTCTGACTTGTGAAACCTCGGCTTTAGGCGGTTCTTTCACAGGGAGCTCTTGGCTCGGTGCTTTCGGTCCCACTGCCTCTTCCTCCGTGGCTTTAACCTCCGCCTCAGCCTGCGTCTTTAAAGAGGCGATACCAAACGCTGGAGTGAATGTTTTGATCCCGCCATAAGCAGCATATTCAGCTGGTGTCAATCCACGATAGGTTGACTTTGATTTTTGCGCCACTTGGGTCGGGGTTTTAGGTCTCTGGAAGGCTACAGGTGATACCCCAGAAGATGATGTCCCATATGTGGGTGTTTTTGGTCTCTTGTAGCCAGGTGATGTGCTCAATAGTCTGGATGCCTCGAATGTTGGAGTCTTGGGCCTTTGAAAGCCAAAAGAAGTCACTACTGGTGTTGTTGGCTGAGGTGTCGGAGTTAAAGAGCCAGATTGAGTCGGTTGGACCTCCTTCTTTGTCAGATCAGGCTCTGATTTTGCTTTAGTCATACTTGGTTGAACTGGCTTAGCTGCAGGCATCACGTCAGAAAGGATGTCCCCGTTAAGTATCATTTCTGTAAGCTTTGGCACAGGAGTCGTCAAAGTCGGGACGGCAGCAGAATCACTTGCTGCTGATACTGTCTTTGGTGTTCTTGACCTCTCTGGCTCAACCGTGACTGGGGACACTGCAAACAGGAGAGGATTGGCTTTTGAGACTTCAAAGACAGGGGTTGCTGCTCGAGTATGGAAAGCCGGGGTCCTTGGCCGCCCTGCAGAAATTCGTGACTGGAACTCAACAGTTGGTGTTTTAACTCTGGTTTCAGATGTTGGAGTAGCCCTTTTGATTTCAGTCGTTGGAGTAGCTCTTTTCAATTCAGTCGTTGGAGTAGCTCTTTTGATTTCGGATGTCGGAGTGGCTCTTCTCAGTTCAGGTGTTGGAGTTATAGCTGTAGTCACCTCTGTTGTGGGTGTCGTACCTCTTCTTGCTTCAGTAGTTGGTGTTTTCCTCTGGGGGTCTGAGCCCAGTAGAGGCGGCTGGATTGTCGGTGTTATACCTCTTGCAACCTCAGAGGCTGGAGTCAAATCTGGTTCTGCTTTACTCTGAGGAACAGTACCGCCAATACTGGTTAATCCAGCTGTGTCATACACCGGTGGGGTCCTTGATGTCTCATAGTAAGATGTACTTGCCGTGTACATCCTTATTTGAGGGACATCAAACATCGGTTTGGGCGATCTCGAGGGTTCTGTTGCCCTGAATGTTGGTCGTGGACTTCTGGGTTTGAGTGGGGTCAACACAGTGAGAGGTCGTGTCAAAGCTTGAGTCCCAGTTGCTTGATAAGGAGTGGGACCTGGACTGATGGGTTTTTGCTGTTGGGTTCCAACAGCCGCGACAGGTCTCAGACTAGCTTGAGCATCACCAAATGTGCCAAATGCTGGTGCTGTTGGTTGTAGGGCAGGGAACGCTGGTAAAGTTATTTTGGGCATTAGCTCTGGAGTTGGTGAAACTCCTGAAACTTGACCTGAAGAAGAATATGAAGACACTGTGGTGACATTTTGGGAGTAGGAGTACGATGGGAGGGTCACTGTCAGGGGTGAGAACCTTGCAGTTCTACCGTAAGCTGCACGCTGTGGGTATGGCGATGCAACATGTTGGTACAGCGGCCTGACATTGAACCGTGCGGGCTGCTGGACATTGTAGAGGCTGAAAGGAGCCTCTGGAGTCTTAGGAGGCGTTGAGTGGTCACTGTGCTCAAGGTCAGGGCTTGCTTCGTTCACTGGGGAAAGGCTTGAGCGGAAAGGTGCGGCGGACTGCGTTGCCTGAGCTGCGGCCTTTTTCTTGGCAGTTCTCTTGAGGAGCTTCTGAAGCCGAACATTGTCTTTTCCAGGCTTGGGCAGCAGGGGCGGGGGGTACTGCTGGGAAAGCAGGCCCGGCTGGGTAATAGCACCATAAGCGATAGCCATGAGCGCTTCTGCACCCTGTGGAGACAGAAAACAAATGGTCAACAAAGGGCAACCTTTTGGTGACTAAAAAAAAGAGCATTTAGTAGTTCAGTTTAATTTTGTCATGTTCGGTGTTTTTCCCCATAGATTTACAAAATCATTCATAATACCTAATTTGATAATTCCCTAATGTAGTCACAATCCTCTGTTGCACCTGTGCGCTGGGCTGACTCTTTATTATTGATAAATCTAGCTGTTCATCAGTGGTGAACCATGAGGACTGTCCCATCCTCCTGGTCTGCAACTGAGTGTGTTTGTGGATGCTCCACCTGCTGTTAACAACACAAATATTGATATATACAATATATGTCTAAGAAGCTTATCCATAAAGCACGTTTTCACTTCATGGCTGCTCTCGTCAACATCATCAGTGTCATTAGGGACTCCTCAGTATGAGAAAACTGCAGGCAAGGTAGATGTGGAGACCAGGTAAAGGGATATTCCTCAAATTTCAGAACCACAGACCTCAGTGCAGTCTTGGTTCACTACATATAAAAAAAGCACGTTTTTGTCAGCACTTTGTCACTGGAATGGACCCTTGCCAATGGTGCTGTACAGATGGTGACCACATCAAAAAAGCAACATGATTAAAACCCATGAATATCAAAACTCCTTTTCTGTATGTGTTAAAAGGTCAAAAGTAGTTCAACCATTTCATACTTTGTCACAACTTTTATTCAACCTCCAAGTATTTCAGCCTCAAATGTTCTGAGTGGATCAAATCTGAGTGGATCAAATCAGGTCACATGTGCATGTTTGCCAATCTCTGCTCTGCTTTTTATTTTGCAGATTCATATCACGGTGATTACTGAGAAGACATCTAATCTACATTTATGTACACCTCGATCCTGACAGTAACAGCAGCAGCAACACCAGACTGAGTTTTTCATTTCAACCTTTCTCTTGAAGTATTAACGTACAAACCGAGAGCTTGAGCCCAAAAGTCTTTCTCCTCAAATGTTCCCTCTTTGCTTTTGAAATATCTGATGTTCTCTGTCTGTTATTATGTATTTATCTGACTGTGAGCTTTAATGTTTCTGTATTACCCCCCCCAACATAAAGTCGGAGAATCATTTCAGTCGTCTTGTCGTCAACCTCGAGGTCTTTTGTGTAAAGTTAGTTGCAACATTAAAGCTGTTAAAGTCATCTGTCCTGCACTTACACTTTGGCTTAAGAACAATCTCAAACAGTCGAACAATTCAGTGTTTTTTATTTTGTCAAATCATAGAAGTGAATGACTGCAACCATGTACCCAAACTATAAGACTTTAGCTTGTTTACCGGTTATATCTCAACAATGTTCAACATGAAGACTCATAATCTTAAGTTTTAGTTCAAACTCATATCTCCAGCTGTCATCTTCCTCTTTTCCACCTCTCATATCATTTCTTGAGATTTCTCCGTGTTCATTACCCTTTTACTGAAATAAATTTAAAATATTTTCTGACGATGCAGTGCCCTCTGTGTGATCCTCTTGTATTTATAGAGCTTTGAACAGTTCTAGGCTTGAAATAGACTGAAATGCGGTTATGTAACAGAGATTTTCACTACAGTGTGGCCAGACTGGAGGGTTTGGGGTTGGATTGCGTGGGTTAAAATGGGCTTAGGGTGGTTTCTATGAGTTAGGATAAAGGCTGCAGTAATTTAATATGTAAATAACTATTATATATGACTATATTCTGTCCAATATTATGGCGATTAATCTGGTAATCTAGGGGGGAAATCATTAAATATATCATAGAAATATATATCATCATCAGATGATGTCCAGGAGAGTCAAGGTGGACTCCTCCTGGATGATGTTACAGCCTCACAGCTGATCCTTCGCCTAATTTTAGAGAGGAAGTCGGCCAATCAACTGCCTCCCTTTTTAAGACTCGCAGCTCTTTACAGGCTGCATCACTTTCCTCAAAACAGTAAATCAGAGTGCTGTGATGCGGAGCAGATGAGGTCTCTGCAACTTCAGCTGGACCCGCAGAAACAGAGGATAAAAAAGTGGGATTACTTTCAGCACGAGCTGCTGCTTTAAGTATCATTTTCAGATTAACATCAGTGGTGAACCATGAGGACTGTCCCATCCTCCTAATTACTATTTTTATACAGGCAGTTTTCATCAGTCTTGTTTGTATGGGTAATAGGCATCCAAGAGATTAATGTCCTACCTGTGTTGTAGCTTTGCGTATTGTTTAAGTAAGGTCGAAGGTCATGACGGTCAAATTGATCATCCTCTGAGGAGCTAAATTATGATTATAGTGGTATTGAATCATTTATGTTCAATTCAGAGTTTTTCTGAGTGGCTATATACTTGGTTTTAATCAAAACACTTCCTATCAGGTGGGAAGTTAATATCTTTAGGGTTGATCTTCTGGGAACCATGAATACTTCAGCCAGTATTAAACCTTTCATTCGTTTGTGGATAATTCCCACACAATAGTCCATATTGATAATGATAATTGAGGTCAGGGTACCAACTCAATGTTATCAGCTGGGTGTGTCCTCTGAGAACAATGATTTTTGTCTTGGTTGTTGAGATGTTAAAAAGATGATTTTAATCTTTTTCTTTTGCTAATTAATTCAAACCGATTTTGACTCATGACACCAAGGTAATAATCATGTGATAGACTTTGGGTTCATCCTCTGAGAACCATGAAAACTTCTGCAAATGCATTGAAAGCAGCTGTCTCCTGTCTTCATGATTTTGATGCGTCTTCATATAAAGTTAGAAACTGATCATGGTGTTTCAAAACAGAGGTAAAACCATCAAAGTTTAACCTCTGATAACCATGAACATTCAGAGGGCTTTTCATAAGAGTTTGGTAATTGATGTTAAGATGTGATTTTTCAAAAATTTCTCTCTGCTTCGATAAAAAACAGAGCTCATCCTGGCACTTAAAGACAGGAAAGTTATTCATCAGGGTTCATCATCTGGAAACCATGAACATATACAGTAAATTCCAGTGATAGCCTCGGGTTTGTTGGATTGGTGCTGATTTTTTAGTAAAACTGACAATTGAGCTTAAGATGAGCGTAATAATCCGCCAACATTGTTTGGGTTCATCCTCTGGGGACCATGAACATTTAAAAACTGCTTCACTGAGTAAAAATATTCTGAGGATTCTGAGAAAACAAGAGGGGCTGGTTACGGCCCCTGAGAATACAGTGGTTGTTCTTGTTCTTCAAATCCATTTCGGTTCACCTTCTGGGAACCATGAACACGTGCGATTTTCAGTAAAATCAGATTTTGTTTGAGCAGATGTAAAAATATGGCTCGTAATAGTCTTTGACCAACATCTCCATCTACAGCTCCACTTCCCTCAGGTGCTTCTTCATGTAAATATTTGGGATCGTCCCATCAGGAGATCCGATCTTCGTCGTTGACCATCGCGGCGGTGAAATGAGCTGAGGTAACAGCTTACAGGCCGGTCTTTATTTTGCACATTTGTCGCGTCAGGATCCTCTCATGTCTCTTCTGGTGTAAACACTCTCATATAGCTGAGTATAAATATCTGCCGGAGGGGGGAAAGTGAATGCAGAGTATCTGACCTCATGACATCACAGCCCGGTAACACCTGATAGGGCCTCGCAAACCTGTTGTCACTGATGATAGCCAATCACAGGCGAGGAAAAGACGACCTCAGAGATAGTACGGTTAAATAGAGAATACCTCTACTTTACATATTGATTTTTGTTTTTTTATTTAATTAATTGGATTTACCTGCTGAGATTTATTTTCATTTATATTATCCAAACTGTCAGATCGCACTTTTTGTTGTTTTTATTTGTGCTTTTGCATCTTTCTGCACAGACCTACAGCTCACCACGCTGCTTTTTGCAAATATTTGATCATATTTTGGTTCATGTTGTTCACACTGATGTAATACTTGCATCTTTTTCTATCTGAGGTTGCTATAAAAATAATCTTTTTGCTTATTTACATTCGTATGTTTCTAGATTTTTTTATTTTAGATTTTAAAATAATGTCATGTTACACTAAAAGTCAGTTTAAAGTTAAATTATGAGTCATATTGGTTCGTGATCAGACTCCCCGCAGGGTTTGGGTTTCTGGTATCATGCAGTCAGTACGAAAACAACTGTTTAATATCCTCAGTTTACTATGTGTGTCACCCCAGTGAAATGTAGGCCAGAGCTGGTCCACTTTAACGCCTCCAACCCCCCCTCAACCTGCTGCTCGCCTGACACATGAGAGCCCACTCCTCCTTTTAAGGCTCTGGTAGGCTCGGTATTTGGAGCTCCTTCAGGATGCAAGTTCAAAAGAGGAAAGGGTAATAATAGCCATGTAATAAAAACCAAGCAGGTCCACAATGGCCTCCTTAAGAAAACGAATCTGCCCCAAAAAGTCATGTACCTGCGGTAAAGTTCTGAGGATTCGAACAGGAAAAGAGAGTTCAGATGGAAAAAGGAGGAACGTACCAGGTCAAAACTTGTTGCTGGTGTTCAGAGCGCTCCAGGCAGGGTCCCCTTTAAAGTACAAGACAGAACATTGATGTTAAACTTCTGAATAAACCTTTCCCACCAAAAATATCTCAGGATAGGAGGTGAAGTAAGCTTTAATGTGAGCACACTTCAGTCATGCCTCTTTGCAGCCAGCACAGATAAGTGACACGACAGACAGAAGGTGTTTGGAAGCCGCAGGGAGTAGAAACAGCACACGGCTAACACTTAGCTCAGCCTGCTGGTGCTTTAATGTTGCACTAAGGACGAGAGAAAGACACCCTGAGCTCGTCAAACATGTCAGATCCCTGGCTGCCGAGGAGGAGGATCCTGCGTTCGACAGCAGCTGCCTCCCTCACCTACTACAGCTCCCCTGCACTCTATCTGAGAATAAAAGGTGTAATTACGGAGTGTTTACCTGTGTGACTGCTGCTTGGGGGGCGGCCGGCCGGCTGCTGCCTGCTTGTCCCAGCCTGGAGTGTCACAGCGGCAGGTTCATGTTGAGCCCAACTCGACCCCCCTTCCTACAAATGGAAGGAACAGACGCCATGGCAGTCCAAAAATAAATGCTGAGCCCTGTGAGCTGCTCAGAGTGACAGCAGCGTCGGCGTGCGAGCACGGCGCAGCGTTGGGCGTAGAGGCCACCGGACCTTAGGTTTCACCACCAAAGGGCTCTAAAAGTGGGCTCTGGGGGCCACCCAGGGGTCCCCAGAGGATGCGCCATGGATCACAGGAAGGGGGCTCCACGGGTTTTACATAAACTCTGTAGACAACTGTAGATATACTGTAGTTCAGGTGCTTTCCCATCGAGGTAGATGGTTATCCACCTGGACTAAGACTCTGTTCAAGGTTTCTGCCTGATTCAAGATGGACTGTCCCTCCAAACATCTTTAAGTTCCTGATGAAGCTGTTTTTGTCTCTTTGTAAAATAAATCATGTCTGATTTGGACCAGATCTATTTAACAACCATCCACTGAAAGTCTGGTTCTGTTCAACATTTCTGCCTGTTTTAAGTTCAATATAATGTGAAGCACTATCATCCAAACGAAGCTGAGGGTCTAATCATTATTACACATGTGATATAACATTTACACATTAGGCCACAATTTGTTCATTGTCATGTTTAATATTACTTAAAAAAAAAACAGATTATATTGAATAATATATTCTTATCAACTTTGGGCTGTTTTAGCATCATGTGCAACAATACTGCCAACATCTGAATGCTCTTTTTCATTGTCATGTGCAACTTTAACTATACACCAAATTCTGCTCAATTATAGTCAGTGTTTTTGGACTGAGTCAGTTTTGTGCAATGAAATTCTTCAAAACAATCTTTAGAAATTAATGATAAATGTTCAAAGTTAGCTGAGAAATAAGCTTCATGAATGTCACTTTTTATACGATCAATATCGTGCTGTTACACCAAGATGGTGGTATATACTCAATTCACACACTAGAATAGATTAAACTAAGTTATGTACACAATAAACATGTTGATTAATGGACTGATGAACTGTGACTTTTATTGACAATATTTATGAGATTAAGATATGAAGATGATACAACAACGGTATGATAAAGATACAATAGGAACAGATAATGATAAAGTATGATAGGACAACAATGTGGTATGATATGAGAACAACAAGGTACAATACGATACCATAGCAATAAGGATGCAATAACAAAACAATTTAGATTTAAAAGCAGTAAAACAGTATAAGGATATGTTATAATAAGAAAACAATACAGTATGATAAGTTATGGCGTTTTGATCGATGATGAGTCACCATGAAATGATGATAACAAAACTATAACAACACAGTACGGTATAATAATGGTACAGTACGATACCATAAGATACAATAAAAACATACAACAGTACTATAAAAAAAACAATGACAATAAAATAAGATTAAGATGATGATACAGTGATGATATGGTGACAATACACTGATGAAACAACAATAATACAATAATGATACAATGACGATGTAATGATGATACAATAACAACACACTGATGGAACAATAACGATACAATAACGATACAATGATGATGTGTTGATGGAACAATAACGATACAATAACGATACAATGATGATATGTTGATGGAACAATAACGATACACTGATGATATAATAATAATGCAATGGCGATACACTGATGATACAATGACGATGTAATCATGATACAATAACAATACAATAACCTTACAATGATGATACACTGATGATAAAATAATTATACAATGATGATATAATCATGATACAATAACAATGCATTGATGGAACAATAATACAATAACAATACAATGACAATACAGTGACGATTCATTACATTACAATATCATAAGGATTAGATACAATAATACAGATACGCACTGATATATTGATAAAATGGTGATAGGACAGGATAACGGTAAGGTAGAAAACAAGTATACAAAATGTGACAATTATATGCAAGGATAGGGCGACGATATGACGACAATACGATAAGATGTGTAATGATATGATACGGTACAATAGGATTACTACACGATTAAAATGAGACGATAACGATACTATACAGCACAACATGATATGAGAATAATATTATATGATACATTAACAATATAGTATGATAGAATGGGAAATTATCAAACACAATGCAACAAATAAAGAAGACAATTTGTAAAAGAGACAGGCCTTAATAGGGATTTCAGGAGCAGTGACGGGGTTTAGTTTAATATTCAGTAGAAGATGAGGAGGTGGTTTGTAAAGATGATTGTTACCAGTAAATGTTATTTTCCAACATGGTCAGTAATTGTTTTTGTGGTTTCTTTAAGTGTCATCCCAACACTAACAGTGAAGACGGGTCAGGTCAGCTGTAAACCAGCAGCAGACTCAAACAGGAGGCTCTCGGCCTTTCTGTGACATGGAAACATCTGACACCCGAACATGTGGTTCTCCGAGAGGCTGAGCTCTCTGCTCTGTCATGAATATGTAGCTCCCCCTTGAGGATATCAGATGATCCTTTAGGACCTCTGAGGGGGATTAAACAAATATAACTCACAAATGGAGCTTATAAATCAGACTAATGAGTTTGCTGAAAATTGTTGGGGCTTGAAGGCATTAATGACAGATTAAACTGGCTCTACAGAGAAACTCCACTCAATGAGAAATAAAGGAAGACAATAACAGTCAGATCTTGAAGTAGTGATGGACGACTGTTCACCTGTGCGTCTAGTTCTGCTCAAGGTTTCTACCTGTTAAGAGAAAGTCACTTCATACCATTGGTGCCAAATGTTGCGCATGTAAATTAGTTCACTAATCAATTGATTTTCTGTTAATATAACATTTAGGTCTCAGATGTCTCAGGATTTTCAAATCAGATACAATCATCATAAAACACAGAAATTGGTGTTTGTTTTAATGCAGCTCTAAAATGACAAACTCTTCAATTCATCATTTGTATTTCACAAAGACATCAATAATTATAATAATAAATCTGTCGACACTCAAATGTCTAATTTTACACATTATTTTGCCATAACTCTGTAGTGGAAGTCGACACATGGGCTTAAAACAACTATTGAAAAACCAATGTCTGATGGTTCACAAACATGAGGCGCCAATGTGGTTTGGACTCATTTAAGTGGACCTTCTTTTTGGAAATCATAGATGTGGCATTGTGTGCTCTAAAGACAAGAGGGACTCCTCGGCCAGTCCAAATCCAGCATCCCTGATGGTATGAGGACCATCAGAGTCCATTTCATGGGTATCTTCCTCGTCTGTGAAGGCTCCATGAATGCTGAACAACATCTACAAATTTAGGAGCAACATCTGCTGACATCCAGACAAAGACTTTTTCTGGGAAGATCTGCATTTCACCACATGGAAAGGACAACTGGACTTACTTGAGACATTTCGCCCAAGGCGAAACGTCTCAAGTAAGTCCAGTTGTAATTTCAACAAAGAATTAGAAATAGAGGACAAATAATGGAAATAAAGAGGTGTGTCTTATTGTCCGACCTTAGTACTATTATTTGAAATCAATTTTAGGTCAATTGGTCACAAGACATGTAAGCTATTGAAGTTAAACAGCCTTTTTTGAGAACGTCAACTGGTAATTTATTGATGGTCCCTTATTCAACACCTGACATTGACAGTGAGGGTGCCGAGTAGATTCAAACGCGCTGCTGTTGTTATTCTCAATTATGGAGAGTTAGAAGACACCTGTAGATCCGCCGTGAAAGTCCTTCGAATATCCAACCTAAAACTAACTTCACCGCGGAATTAACGTGGAAACACACTTGTTGCCTCGCCTGATTTTTTTATGCGGACATGTGCCCCTAAATACATTTTACAATTCGCACTGTCGAGCCCTGTGCTGTGTCCTCAGTTTTTAACTATATCTCCAGGTTTAGGGGCAACATCTGCGTCCATCCAGACAAAGACTTTTTCGGGGACGACCTTCAAATGATCCCAAACTAGATTCTGACAACAGCATGGCTCAGTAGGAGAAGAGTCCTGCTGAGAAACTGGACCGATGCGGTCCTGAGTCCTGAAAACATTTGGTAAAACGTAGAATGAAAGCGTAAACAGAGGTGACCCAGAACTGTTGAGCAGCTGAAATCCTACATCAGGCTTGAACGGGTCATTTCACCTTGAAGAACCGTCTGAACGGGTCGCTCCGGGTCGCTGATGTTTACGAAGAGCTGTTCGAGGAAGAGGTGATGCAACATGTTGGTAAACACGTCCTTGTGCGAACTTTCTTGAAACCTGTTGCTTACGTCAAATTCGAAATAAGCAAAAAGTTTCCATAAAACAAACAATTTTTGTTTTTTGTAACACTCAATATGATGTTTTAAGTGAATTTTAAGGGAAGTATTGGATCGAATTAATGCGCAAACCATCAAAATTTAAAATATATGTTTTTTATAAAAGTGAGAATCAAAGGTTCACCCTTCCTTTAAACTTTAAAAGACATTAAATATCGATAAGATCAAATCTTTTTAACTCTAAACAAACTAAAGCTGAGTTTCTCATGTTTGAACATCCTGGAAGGTTGGACGGGGTCGCTCATCCATCAGGAGTGTTTGTGTTTACTTGGACACTCTTCAAATCTGACCAGCAGATTTTTTCCACCGGGGTCAGATTCTGGCGTCTCTGTCTGAGCGCCATCTTTGATTTACATGAAAAAAAAAAACACAAATACAAACATATATACAAAGGGCATTCCTGCAAATCCTTGCAAATGATGCTCAAACTGTACCTGACAAGCCTCGTTTAAATGTTTGTTTTTGTTTGCTAAGTCTTGTTTTCGTTTTCTAAAGTTTTTTGGACCTTTTTTGGGTATCTGGATGAAGTGAACTTTTTAATTTTTGATTAAAAATGCCACTAATCCACTTTTTCTTGATTTGTTAAAGAAAAAAAGCAGAATCGAAACGTTCTAATCATCGGTGTCGTCGTGTGAGTGTTGTATCTTTAAAGAGGAAAGCGTCTTTCTCTGGTATTTCACTTTCAGGGCCGGCGAGCGTCTCTTTTAATTATGGGATCCTATTTTTGCTCTCCTGGCAAAGCGGGGTGTGAGACAAAACCAGAAACCCAAACACAACACGGATCAGTTTTCAGGATTTACAGCTTTAATGGAGACATAATTGGTGTAAAGAAGCTGTTTTGTTATTTTGTGAACTTCTACGGGGTCTCTGTGGGGTCAAACTCTCTGATGTTTAATTTTGGGATCCTGCTTGACCTTCACAATCCAGAAACAAATAAGAAACCGAAGCAGAATCCGGATCATCGTTCGGGATTTACAGCTTGTGTAGACCCATAATTGATGTTCTTGTCCTGCCGTGACCATGCCGAACATTATGTCTGTGTGTTTTCGGTGAGGCCTTCAGGATCATCACCTGCCTCTCCGCCCTGACGTCCAGCTCTCTTCTCACTCTCCCCTGAAATGTGCTTGCCTAATGCAGCTGCCCCAGAATAGCAACCTGGGGGCGTCTTGGCTGCCCCCGTCTCCAAACTTGAGCCTCCCTCCTTAGCCCTCGACCCTTCCATCTCCTTATTGAGTGCCAGCTGGGGGAGGGCGGGAGGGGGGCCACCAGAGAGTCACGGACCCTGCCCCAGCGCGGGCCCCGGCCTCGCCTCCGAGCGAGGTCCTCGGCCAATGAGGAGGCCTCGGGGATCATGTGTCACTATAACAGAAGGACATAATCAGCGCGGTAAGTTTGCAGAACCTTACAGCCTGTCTTGGCCAGCAGGGAGCTCGCTTCTGTCAGCTTTTCTGAGGTAAGAACGAGAGAGAGTGGGAGACTGTGTGAGTGTTTGAGAGAGAGAGAGCAAGTGCTGAAAAAGTCCAATAAACATCACCACAGCGAGGACAGCTGAGTCCACATGTGTTAAAATCACTGCCATGATTAGTAGAAGCTGCGGAGGTCAGGGGTGAGAACGGGAACAGGCCTCAGAGAGTTTGACGCTTCTTGAAATCCGGTTTTTGCTCGCAGACTGGGACGGGGTTCTGGATTTTTGTTTAGATTACAGGTGCTTATCTGGTTTGCTGAGCGAGATTCAATCTGAGGATCTATGAGGAATAAAATCAAAGTCATTTAAAAATACTCTATATGAGCTCTTTGGTTAATTTCAGACAAAAAAGTCATTATCTTTAAAAGGTTTGATGCAGTTTGAACTTTTGAATCTTTGCTTGTTTGATTGATTTTCTGATTCGTCTTCGTGATGCAGAAACTTTGTCTGAGATGAAAATTCGAAGCTCTCAAAGGTGTAAAATCTGCTGCTATCTTAAAGACGTTGTTGTTGTTGTTCTTGTGCCGCCTTGGTTCTGGTCCAGGGCTCCAGCGGAGGTTCATACCTGAGGGATTTACAGATGGCTTAAAGCCTTTGAAGCAGCTTTCAGCTTCGGCAGCCTGAAGATGACACTAATGAGTTATGCAACCTCTCGCCAACAGAGGCGAGGAGCTGTGTTGTTATTCTTGATATTTTAATCGGGGCATTGTTGCGGTTTTTCTCGGATTATGAGTTGATCGCTGATGACAATTAGAAAAAAGGGCGTGGCACATTCAAGAAAACCGCTTCGGGATAAACACTTGACAGGAGCCAAGGGCCTCCAGACTGGATTGTACATGACTTCCTCTCACTCGGAGTCGTTTCCCAGACTGTTATATCACACAAAGCTTAAAGAGAAGTCCTCAGTTTGGGATTCACGAGAGTTAAAGAGCGGTACAAGCGGTCCAGGCATGAGCCCTCTGACCTTAACGCCTCCCGTTCGGGGTTTATTTTAATTCCTGAGCAAAGTGGCCTCAGTCAGCAGGGGGCCTCTGGGAGGATGATTGAAGGAACCATGTGAGAGCGAGACGTCCACATAAGGAGATGAAGGTGGAATTATGGTCGCTGGAACCCAATCTTCATCATCGGGCCTGCTGAAACCGGATCTGCGGGCCGGTGCAGCTGTCTGATGGAAATAGTTGTGATGTCGGGACGCCTTCATGGTGGCCTTAAAGCTAATGAAGCTAATGTGCAACTAATCCCAGGTCTCATCACTTCTAGATGAAGTTAGGAACAAATTCAGGTCATGTTTGTTGGTTTTTAACTGGTTCTAATAATAAAGCATCTTTACAGCCTTGGCGCGGACACTGGAAGAGGCTGACCTGTACCCTTTTTTATGTCCCTCCACCTCCTCCGGTCAAAAACAGACTTTGGCATAAATCTATGTTTGGCTTCCTTCTCAGGTATCATTAGGGATGCAGATTCAGGCCTGAGGTTCGAATTTCAGTCTAATTATAAAACCAAAAATGACTGAATGTGGTCTGTGTTAGAGCTCTCTCCAATCTTTGAAATCAGTCGATATAAAAGGGTATTTGACTTTTTTGGTGATGTTGAAATATGTGCAGGCGAGGAGCAGGTGCGGTTTGGTCAGGGTGGGGCGGCGGCAGATATTTAAGACATTTGCAACTTAATCCTGAGCTATAAATACAGCAGGCTGCCGGGGTCGCTCCTTCGAACCGACTCTAAAATTCCTCTCTTCTCTCTCACCTCTAGGTTGCAAAGTCCACTGTCACCATGTCTGACACTGAGGAAGTGTAAGTACAATTCAAACATTTTAGCCAAAATTCAAACCTGTAAAGTTTTTAGAGCTAAATCTGAAGTGCGTCCTTGTTTTTTGTGTCTTGCAGTGATCAGGTCGAGGGTAAGTAGCGCCTTTTTCCCCCTTTTTTAGATCCAAATGAAGTCCCCGTAGATTTAGGGTCCAGGTACAGCCCGGAGTTCCATGCTAAAACCGAGTTTTATTCCTGAACCTTGCCTAACTGATTTTCCATCCTCTTCAGAGAGTTATTTGCACTGGATAAGTTCAAACGTTTGCAGGTTTGGCTTGACTCCTCCAGATTCAACTCGTTGCAATAATAATAATAATAATAATGCCCTCTCTCTCATTAAAGCAAATCCGCGCAGCCATTATCCTGCCGCTGTTGCATGGTTGCAGGCGCCATTGCTGGCATCAGGACAGTGTCGAAAAGTACTGTGTGAAACCAAAAACTGCAAAGTTTACGCCACGACAGCACTACACTGACCTGTTGGCAACAAGCCCTGCAGCTCTGCATGACCACTCTGCATGACCGGTCCTCCTGAGCTGATAACCCTCCAGACGCAGGACAGATCGTGAGGTTTTGACGCCACTTTTCTGTCCCGTCTGTCAGTTTCAATCAGCTCAGGAGGACTGCGTTGTGTATGCTTAGCATGGATCCCCAGTGTACCCAGGTTTTGCATTCATACTTGTGTAAAATTGGGTACAAACGGGATCTTTTGATAATGTTCTTCTGCTCCTTTCTTTCTCGGACGGACGTGAAGAATACGATGGTAAGACGCAGCCCGCAGATCCGGGTGATCTCATGTCATTGGTACTAATGTGTCAGTCACTTTTGGAAACGTGTGCTCTTACTTTCTCATGAACCTTTTTGGTGGCATGCTGGTTAACACTAACTGTTATTCGAGATCGATGGTGAGACGCAGGTTGAATCAGCAGAGCAGGTTATCTCTCTTTGCAGTGAGTTGAAGTGCAGGTACCTCAGGAGTCCATCACACGTCATCCATCACTGACCTTCCATCAATGACTTACCTTTTCCCTCTTGTAACTGCTTGCTGTCTCACTTGCTTTAGCGCCATCTGGTGGCAGTTTTCCTAAACTGCCCTGCAGTAAACCTCCTTATATCTCACATTCCCTCCCCCCCTGTCATCTACTCACCCTGACCTCCCCCCTCCACCTCTCCCCTGTTCCCTCTCTCCTGCTTCCATTAACCATCTCACCGCCCTTCCTCTCCCCTGGTGACTCGCTGCATGTTGTGTAGCCGTAGAAGAGGAGGTAGTAGAGGAAGTAGAGGTGGCCCCAGAGGCGGCCCCTGAGCCAGAGCCAGAACCAGAACCAGAACCAGAACCAGAGCCAGAACCAGAGCCAGTGGTAGAACCAGAGCCAGAACCAGAACCAGAACCAGAGCCAGAGCCTGAGCCTGAGCCTGAAGGTATGTGGCATGGAGGGGGGGAGGGGGTATTCTATCATCCTTTCCCAGGCAACAGGTGCGCTCCACCGGCTGCAGCCAGCCAGACAGACCCCACTAATCCTGATCCGCACACATGATCACCATGTCTGCTAATGCTAACGCTACCTTCCTTTCACCTCTGCACAACGTCGAAGACGAACGCAGCACTCTCCACATTTTCATTTTAATAATTATCAACATTCACTGAGACAGTTTTACCAAAGTCACCTGACCAAAACAAACAAAAAAAACATAAATTTACTCTGAAGCTCAAGTTCAGGCTCACATGAAGAGCTCAGGTTAGCTTATTTTCTACACACTCTTTTTTTAATTTTTCATTTATTCAATAAATGTTACTAAAATAGTTTTAGAGATACTATGTTTTTTTAAAAGGTGGAATTTGTATCTTAAATGTTAAAGTAAATTAAAATACAACATGATTTTGTTTTCAGCTATGTTAGAAATGCGTCATGCTAACAGGTTAGTATAGAGCGTAAAACTTGAAAAACTTATTTTTTAGATATTCCAACATGTCTTAGCATTTAGATCTACACCTTATATTTCTATTTCAATAGTCTTAAATAAAGTTTTCTGATAAATTGACTGACTTTTTATTTAATGCTAATGCTAATGCTAAAAAAAGAATCTAGCAAATGAAACTTTGTTTATGGTCACAAACAGTTAAAGCCTCAAACTTTTATTTGTAATTTAAATGTACTTTAAAACACTGAGTGCTGGTGAGTTAAAATCTTTTATTAAATAACTTTGATTTTTAAAATTAGGATCTTTGGAATTAAAATATTGTAACAGTTTTCTACAGTAAGAGTCCCTTTAGATTTTTTAATTGTATATTTTACTAAACATTCAAAAAGATTTAAGGAATATTTTGGTAACATTATAAAAAAATGTTTATCTTAAATTATAAAAGAAACTAAAGTTGTGCTAACGGGTTAGCATACAGTTTATAATCAATGCAATATGAAAGTCTTTCAAATATTTAAAAATGTTTAATTTGACAAATTTTAAGTTTTATACATAAAAAATCATTAAATAATTTTAACATCTTAATTATAATTTAGGGCATTTATTTTCATGACTACCAAAAATAATTTTAAAAAACTTTGCGAACTTTTTTTTAAAGCTTAAGTAACTTCACGTAAAGAATTTATTTGAACATGAACAACAATCAAACATGGTACAAATTAAAGACATAAACACAAATAAACCCTAAAAAAAAGAAAGAAAACAAAACCAGAGAGTAAAATAATTTTAGCTTAAATTTAGTTTCCCGCCAGATTAAATATTCTAAAAAAAACCAAAAAAAAACAAGGAGCTTAAAATGATCACAAAAATGAGCTGTAACATTCGACATATTGAAATAATTTTAAGAACCTGAATAAGAATAAGAAGAACTTTATTATTTTTTTAGAGTTTAAATGAATAAAAGAACAGACACACTGACTTTTTCAGTCTAACACTACTTATACTGTTGTTCCACATGTACCCTAAGTACTCGTATTTAGCGTACAAGAAGCTTTTTTATTTTAATCCGATGAAGGTGAACGTCACATCCCTTAAATGCTGTATATTGAGCTGCTTCTTTCAAGGGACTGAAAAATGTAAACATGTAAATCTAAAAAAAACATCAAGATAATTTTTTTTCTCTTTGAAATGTTTTTATCCTGCTCAAGTTCTTCAGACTGATGTCGTATTCAAGTGATATTCTGTAAAGAGAATTTCAAATCTAGAAAACCTCAGAAAAATTTGGATTGGTGATAAACTATTCGACAGTAAATCCAAACCTGTGCAAACTCAACATCAACTTTCATCCACCAAATTCGATCAACTTCCAGTTTCCATGTTGAGTTTTTACAATACCACTTGAATGCAGAACTAAATATTCATTTGGAGGTCGAATAAGCACTTCTACAAACTTAGACCAGGATGTTGTAAATTCTCAAATATCTACCTCACTTAAAATGAAACACAAACGGGAAGTGTTTTGAAATATTTTGGCCACTTTAACTGCCTTTCAGCTAACGTAAAAAAACTGACATTTCATCAGAAATGCTTTATAATCACTTTAACACGAGCAGTTAGCAATCCTGCGGGCCAAAAATATTGAATTTGTGGTATTTATTTGAGAATTGACAAACGTAGAAGCTGCTAGTTAACTGCCTTAATCTTGTAGTTTCACTGTTTTATTATTTTCTTAAAGTAAATTAGCTGCTCTTAACGTGCCTGCTAACACTCTTATCTGTTCTGCTCTTGTTTTGGATGCTTGCTGCATGCAGAGGCCTATGAAGAGGAAGGTATGTTCATTTAAAAATCTAATCTCAAAATCTGTCATTCTGGTTTTGGGGGGACAACAGTGTCCAGGTCTGACGTCTGTTTTTAGGAGAACAAACGCCTGCTGTTCACGACATGTCTGTCCAAATTTTATCTGTCTGTCGCAAAAAAAAGGAGCGCTGCCCAATTGGCACAAAGACATTATAAACTGGAATCTTTAAAAGAAATTTTAAAGAATACTCATTGAAAAAGTTTTGAGAAATGCTAAAAATGCTAGCGGAGAAAAAGGGTGAAAGAATATGAAATGCTAACACGTGCTACACTGCGCAGCGACCCCACCGTTACTCTCTTGCTGTGCCCCTCATCATCTGCATGGCATGGAGCCTTCAGAATCTGGGTTAAGTCTTAAAGATGAACAACTATCATGGGAAGGTGTCCAGGTAGAAGCATTTTGGGGTCAAGCCAAAAGAGATATGTTGTTTATCCTACTCTTAAAGGACATGGGTAGAGTTAATCTTTGTTTAAATTCTGCACTGGGTTACGTCACTCTCAGCCAAACGGTTCCTGGGAACTTCACAATCCCCTTGGTAAAAAAAGACTTGTTTGTTCTTCCAGTAGATTCCTCTAAATCTAACTCTAACTTATAACAACTTTACGTTTTTAATCTTGATCTAATGTAGAGACAAAACCATGCATTTTAACCATGTAATGCCTGGTAATCTGCTTCGTTCTAACCCCATGACATGTACTTGTCCCCTCTTCATTTCCTAACCTGCAGAGGAGAAGCCAAAGTTCAAGTAAGTTCCTCTCTTATGTACGTAATATAAAAGCGATAATACACGCTCCTAAAACACGCACACCTCTCCTCCTTCAGACCCAGCGCTCCCAAGATCCCCGATGGTGAGAAAGTGGACTTTGATGTAAGTGGGTGTGGAAGGACGACCTGAGAGTAGAGTCAGTTTTGAGCGTGTCTGTTCGGCTGAGTTTTACGGGGTTTTTTTTGGCTCTACAGGACATCCAGAAGAAGCGTCAGAATAAGGACCTGATCGAGCTGCAGGCCCTGATCGATGCTCACTTTGAGCACAGGAAGAAGGAGGAGGAGGAGCTGATCGCCCTCAAAGAGAGAATCGTGAGTGTTCGGAGAAATCACGAAACCCTCACGAAAGATTCTGTAATCACAGGGAGTGAAAACGAATTTTCCTTCGACTGTTTGAAACTTACTTACTTATCACTGGAAGTCTACTTGATACACGCCACTTTTCTCTCATTCGTGACCATTAAAACATGGCGATGTATCTTCACCCAAACCACGACCTTTGCCCTAATGTGGTGAGGTAGTTTTCGTTCTGTATCCTCACGAAAACCACAAGTTTGGTAACATTGGTAGGGTGATTAAACGTCCTCTTTTACCCGGACATGTCCTCTTTTTTAGGGGCTGTCTGGTCTTGTCCGGGAGAGTTTATAAAATACTTCAAATGTTCGCGGTTTTGTACGAAAGTTTTGGGTTTGTGTGGCGTGGACTTACTGAGTTAGAAGCTCATAAAAAACACTCGACCGGACCTTAAAAACTCAAAATTTACTTCTCACGACTTCATGACTCCGTACCCGCGTAGTCGTGTCCTTTTTGGGGGATTCAGAATATGGTCACCCTAAACATTGGAGTATTTAATTACTTAGTGAGGTTAATTAAGGCAAAGACAGAGTTTTTAGTTCAAAACACAAAACAAAACGATGGAAGTCCAGTCACACAAGGTCAGTCTAAGACGAATCAAATAACTTTTCCACCAGACACGAGTAAGTCTCTGTTTTTCTAATCTAAATGACACCCTGAGCAAACATTTCCATCTACAAAAGAAACATTAGTCTGAAGTTCATGCTAACAGTACAAAAGTTAGAAATACGTCAAACATTTAGCTTAGCTTGCAACAAAGACTGGAAAGTGCCGGGAACAGTCCATGAGGCTCGATTGAGAATCAGTATTTCATTATTTTAAGCTGCTTTAAATTTGACTAATTCATAAATTCTTCTTGAGTTTAATCAGCTCTTATTCCGCTCAGTATAAAAACTAGAAACCAGGGTTAACTAGCTAAATAACTGTTTTATTCGATATTTTGCTCATATAGCCGAGCAAAGACCAAAATATTTCATAAAACACCTTTAAAATTGACGGGTTAAGGATAAGTTACGTATCGTTGTCTGGTGTCTGTGGGGGTTCGGTTGTTGTGTTGAATCTCACCGTGTGTTTTTGGTGTTTCGTGTCCGTCTCGCAGGAGAAGCGTCGCGCTGAGAGGGCCGAGCAGCAGAGGGTCCGTGCTGAGAAGGAGAAGGAGCGCCAGGCCAGACGCGAGGTTCGTGCTTCAGAATTTAAACATTTCATTTGTGTTTTTGTTTGTTTGTTTGTTTTTTTCCTGGTAATCTCTACAGTTAAAATAATTAAAGCTTAATAATTTACAGTGATATCGTGGAGCGCCAATTCTTATGAAAAAAAAGGATCAATTTTCACCCAGATGAACCTCTGACAAACTTTAGTATTATTCTTACAAGAGTTGACATTTAATTTAGGTGTAAACTGAATTATTAATATGAGTATTTACACATTTTATTACCTGGATGATTTATATCCCGTATAATTTTTTGTATCATATTTGTATCTATTTTTCTCTGTTAAAATCTTCTGACTGATTTCCATGTTTTTGTGTCTAAATGAAGGTTTGGAGTCGGTACTTTGATCTCTCAGTTATGTAGATGAATCTGGAGGTCTCACTCTGAGTTTTTCTCGTTTCCTAAAACAGGAGGAGAGGCGATGCAGGGAGGAGAGCGATGCCAAGAAGAAGGCTGATGAAGAGGCGAAGAAGAAGTCAGCTCTGTCCAGCATGGGCTCCAGCTACAGCAGCCACCTGCAGAGAGTCAGTGTCACCATATCTGTGTTTTAGTATCAGTACAGACGCAGTGATAGGTACTCCTCAGGCCTCAGACTAGGATCTAAAACAGTATCTGAACTTCTCTGAACAGGCTGACCAGAAGAGAGGAGGAAAGAAAGAGACTGAGAGAGAGAAGAAGAAGAAGATCCTCGCCGCCAGGCGCAAGCAGCTCAACATCGACCACCTGAACGAGGACAAGCTGAAGTAAAACTGACTCACACACGCCTGAGCTCTTTCTGAGAGGGTGTATGAAGATAATGTCTTTGCTCACGCGAGTGTGTCGACGTGTTTCTCCTGCAGGGATAAGATCACCGAGCTGTACGACTGGATGAAGCAGCTGGAGTCTGAGAAGTTCGACCACATGGAGAGACTGAAGAAGCAGAAATACGAGGTGAGAAACTCGTGTATGACTGTGAATAATTTTAGGTTTCATTCTGGGGGGATTTCTGAGACCCTGAAATGAAGAACCTGAGCCCGGTTATAACGCTCAGACTCGTGGGTCCATATCTTCAGTCACTGTCATAGTTACTCAAAATCTTTTAAAATCTGATGAAAGGTAAAAAAAAAAAAAAAAAGGTAGAAAAGAAACAGAAATAATCGTTTTCTTTATTATCACCTTTCATTTTCATGACACTACAGGTTTACTGTAATCTCAATTTTGCAGATTTCACCTCTTTAATTGACACTTTCTCTGATTTTACCGGCCACATGTTGTTGTTATTTGTTGTAATTTTCTTGTTGTTGGCCCCCGGGGGCCCTCGAGAGCCCACCTGTGTTCACAGCTGAGCCCCTGACCTGCTCTCTGATTCCCTCCAGGTTACAACCCTGCGTAAGAGAATTGAGGAGCTCAGTAAATTGTAAGTAGAGCTCAGCAGGGTGTTTGCCTGTTAGCTTCAGGCTGGCTGCATGTTAGCATGGAGGAAAGTTAGAGTCAGAGCGCCACCTGCTGTCTGAAGGAGGAGATGACACATCACCTGAAAACAAAAACTACAAAATAAGACAAAAAAAAAAGACCAAGAGTTTGATTCAAAAATTAACATTTACTGAAAATCTTCTTTTTAAAAGTAAAAGATTAAACTGTGATTTAAAATAATTTGTAATTTATTTTATATTAATATAACTTGATCTAGAATCAGTGAGCTGTCTGTGTCAAGTTAAAATCTCGAAAAGGAACAATTTATGACTTCAGAGAAGTCAAACCTTATAGAAAACTTATAGAAAAAATGAAGATTTATGATAAATTAGCAAATTTATAGGATGAAAGTCATTGATATGCCAGAATAAATTCATCAATCTTCAAATTTACTTTAGTGACTGTAAAACTTTTTTTCTCTTAAGATAAAATTTTGGAAATAAATGACTGTTTTACTGAAGACACTGAGCAAACCAACGTTCTTGCTGCTAAATTTATGACTTTTTACAAAATTCTATTTTTTTAGTTCCTGATAAAATCATCATTGTCCTTACCTATCAACTCTAATAACTTAAGGTATTTAATTTAAAGGAAAAAAGTTGTAAAATTACCAGATTCAAGACTTTAATTTTTAGAAGAAATATGTAAATTAACAAGATTATTCCAGTAAATTAAACATTTTCTATTTTTAACCATAAATTTGTTATAATTCAATTTAAAAAATATAATATAATAATATAAATATTATAATATAATATAAATATAATTTAATTTTATAATTTTAGAAAATAAAAATTTAACCTGTATTCTAAAATTTTAACCTTTTTCTTTCACAACTTTATTCTTAATAATTATTTCATTTTTTAAACATTACAAATTAACTGATAAACTTACAACTTCATTCTTAAAATTTCTTTTTTTTTTTTGACGTCTTAATGTGACTTTATTGCTATCTTCTCTTTGTTATTTGCTATTCTTCTCCTGTCCTCCAATCCAGCTGGTGGCAGTAGTGTCCCCCTAATCTGGATCAACAATCTTTAATAGGTTTTAGAGAGTTAAATCTACTCAGTTTTATCTGTTAGTAAAATCTGAAATACTGAAACTAAGAACAACCACAGCAGCCTTTATTAACTGTGAGTTTTCGCTGTAACATTTCAGCTAAGTGTTATTTTTGAATCAAACTCTTCAGCTGATCAGCTGTTAAATCAATACAAGTGGATTTTAAGGTGGTGTTGGGACGGCTGCTCCCCCACACTCCCGGGTCAGGTGTGTGGGCGAGTGGTCCAGCAGGTAAGTTATCTCCTGTAGAGAGGCTGGGGCTGAGTTGATTTTTACAGTGGCTTTCTGAACGCAGGCCTAGTGTTTCAGCGTTTCAGTGTTTCAGCCCGTGGAGCCGCCTCAGGAGCGCAGAGGTGAACCCCTCTCCTCACAGGTAAACGTGTCCAGGTGTGCGCTAAAGCTGCTGCTGCTGTTGTTGTGTCGTTTTTCAGGTGCTCACGTACAGGAACCGCATTGACGTGTTGCAGAAGCAGTAAGTAATGTGACGGTCACCGGTGCGTTCACTGACACTCTGACACCCGCGGTCTGCGTGAACCCCTCCCCCACAGACAGACTTAACTTCATAACCAATCAGTTTGATCAGTTACCTGCAGGAAACAGGCGCTCGAAAGGTTCAGGTTTTAACGATATATTAGCTTAAATATGGCATAGCACAACATGGAAATTTAGCTGTGCTCATTAGCTATATAGCTAACATTATAAAGAGTTTATCAGCTAGCATAGTTGAACAACAGGCAAATATTTAACATAGAAAAACTAGGCTAACTAGCTTACTTTTAGAAAAATTAGAACTAGCTGATAAACAAGGCTAACTAGCTTACATAGCTTACATAGGAAAAATAAAACAGGCGAACTAGCTAACGTAGAGAACAATTTTAACTAGCGGTCACAGAAAAAAAACAATGCCAACTGGCTAACCTGTAAAATTAATGCTAACTAGCGAGTTACACAGGTGAAATATTTACGGCTAATATTTAGCCGCCATTTTTCATCAAATCTGCGTCATGTTCTTAATCTGAGCCCTGGTTTGATTTTTTTTCACTGCAAAAACATTAAATTAAGTGTTTTTGTTGAAATTTCAATGGAAAATTTTCATTCGAGTTGGTCAAGGCGAAATTCACCTGACAAGTCGAGACTATAACTGAAATCAAGATATTTCGCGCCAAAAGTCGGACTGAATTATAATTAATTATTGTCCCAATGCGGCGAGAAGGATTGACTCGTCAGATTTCGTAAAACTGGACTCAAGTTTTTTGATTACGAGTGACTCGTTTCACTTTTGGTTCGGGATATCTTTGAGTAAGATGTTCATTCAGACTTCTCAGGTGAATCAAGTCCGATAAAAACTAAAATTAAGACAAAAACACTCGCTTAGATTTCAGTTTTTGCACTGCACTCACATTATGAACGTTGGTGTCTACATGTGTCTACTAAAATCAATAGTAAATACATTTATTTACTATCGTTAAAACACCTGTGACATGTCTTAGTTTGGTATCTGTTGGACTCTCCAGTCTCTTCAGGTAAGTGCTGCATGAGCCTGTTTATGATCTTTTTTATCAATTTTCTGACACCCTGATGCAGGAAATTTAAGCATTTCTTCCCTTTTGCACGCAGCCCTCCATCCATACAGAAATGTTTAAGAATAAACGCGAAACACAGAATGAGTTTAGTTTTTTCTGTCTATTCATAGAAAAATGTTTTATGTAAAATGATTCTTCAGGACAGTTTTTCCCCTCAGTTTGTTTCTTATTTATCTTATTCATATTCTTTTAGAGTTGCTCATTGCAGAAAAATGCTGTATGATTTTGGAATTTTATATTATTATTATTTTTTTTTAATGTAAAAGATTATTTAATTTTATGGAATTTGAAATATTTTATATCTAATAACTTTTAAGTTTTAGTAATGAAAGTATAATGATATAAAAACATTTAATATATTACATAACTATAATTTGTATAAATTTAGAATTTTTGGTTATCTTAAATTAACATTAAAGTTATTTTTCCTTAAAAACATTTTATTCGTGCTCATTTTTTAAATTTATATTTCTAATCATTTAAAGTCATAATTTGATGATTTTTAAAAATTTTAAGTTATTTTATATAACTGAAAAAATCTTTTATCTAAATTTTATGTACTTTTATTTGATTTGTTAGATAAAAATGGTATTTTAAAATAATTTTAAGTTATGATCATTTCAAGATTTTAAGTCATTTGAATTAATATACATTTTTGTTGTATTATAGGAAAACATCCTCATTTTCAACATTTACACAGAGTAAATAAACTTGGTATTATTTGTCAAGAGAAGCTTTTTTATATCTATAATCTATGCTATTTTGTCTGTTAGCAAATACAACATTGTACGCTAGCAGACATGCTAATTGCTCACAATATTGTGTAAACTATTCACTTAAGTTTTTTTAAAAATAGCTTAAAAGTTGAGAGATAAGAGTGTACAGTACAAAAAAGAGTAAACAAGCTAATATAAAACTTGGCTAACTTCCTAGCGTAGCTCTCCGACTTAATTTTGGTCAAATCTTCATGAGCCTCTTGAATAAACAGAAATGGTCGTTTTTCTACGAACTTGTGAAACTCCCTGCAAAGTTCTGATGTGTTTCCATGTGTTTGTTGTGTTTTTTTCGTATTACAGCAGCAAGAAGGGAGCCGCTGCCCGCCGCAGAAAGTAGACTGGCTCACTTCGTCGCTGCTCAGAAACCAAACTGCGATCGTCTCGAACACACGCCTGATGAAACGAAACACACTGTGGCGGAGGTCGTAGCTCAGGAGAATCCAGTAACGCTTGGGTTTACTTTGCGGTTATCAACCCACATCCTGAAACAAGCAACCAGGAGCCTTTAGCTGCTGCTCTGTAGGAATTAAAACCTGTTCGCCATCTCGCTTCCTCGCCCTCCACTGTTTGGTTCTCAGTATTTTTGTAAATAAAGTGTGACTCTTCAAGCCATGTCTGTAGATCTGTTATTATTCAGAAATCAATAAAGTTCCGTATTTTTAGATGTGTAATTTTAAAGTCGTTTGTTCAACACTGTTTTTGAACTGCAGTTAGTTAAAAGGATCAGGTTAGCTGGATTTGAACACAGACTAAAGATTAAATCTCCAAGAAGTGTAAAGATTATTTTGATCTAAATGAGTTTAAGGCGTATTTCTATATGTGAGGATGTAGATTCTCCAGCAGGGGGAAGTTTCAAAGAGTGTTTTAGGACTTCATTTTCACAATTAGCAGCTTTTTTGTACTTTTTCATCGATGTACTGCTCTTGATCGGAACACCAAGTCGAAAAAGGTGAGTAGGAATCAGGGCCGAGCTGGAGTCTAGACTTTTTGGTGGTGCTGAAGCCTGCAGTAACATTTTATTTGATATTTTATATTTAAATAAAGGAGTTATTAATGCTAAAGGTTAGTGACTTTGTAAGACCTTTAACTTCAGTGCGGCCTTTTGTCATTTTGACCAAGTAACGCCTTTTTTCAACCTCTAAAAAAGTTTAAAATAATCAAACTTTTGACTCTTTTTATCCAGATTTTCTGCTCGAGGTTGAAAGTATAAAAATCAAATCTTTATAAACACATGTCCCTGCTCTGATTCATTAAACACCACAAATATACAGGGTGAAATTTAACTGTCTTTTCCCCTTCAGACAGTAAAAGGACTCTTCTACAAAAACTCATTATCTTGGTGTTATAAACATCTTTAAAAACCGATATTCAACCTGACACAGCTTATCGAAGTTTTACCATCAAAACTCTACACGACAAATTTCCTGGACCTTTTTTTTCATATCAGACAACATCCAAACAAATTCGGACATTTACAATAACTCGTATTGTAGATATCACCTCCTCATTAGAAATGGCCTGCAGATCCAAAATGCCAACAATTATGATTTACATAAATTTTTTCTAAACAGAATTAAATTTTCCTTAACAAAATATGAAATAAAAGTAAAAAACAGAAAAAGTGTGCGGGTAAAGTCACATATGACGCTTAAAAGCAGGTAAAAGTGAAGTTCAGTGTGCAGGTGTGAATGATAACGTGTCGTCAATCAAATGTCTGATCCAACGAGGGCAAATTATTAGTTTTAGTTATTAAAGCCGATCAGGAGTGTTGAAATTGATTTTTTTTTTAAATCAGAGGCCAAAAAATTAGGGGGAGCCTCACAGAAAATATGACTTATTTTCTGCAGCTGCAGATCCTCTGAGTCACCACAAGAGGGCGGCATCTCTCTGCGTAAGAAAAAGATTAAAGCGAATTTGGACTAAAATCAGCCCAAACTAGTCAAACTTTGACAATTACGTTCATATTCATACTATTCCAAATTTCATTGACGGTGCAAATCAGTTCATAAAGATCAAATTGTTTTTATCATATTGACAAAAATAAGTCAAATTTATTTGATAAACAATGACACTGACAAAAAAAAAGTGTTAAAACAGAATTTAGTATTTTTTTAATTTGAATAACAGCTTCTTTATTTAGACCGTAGATATAACTATAAGGATCAAAAATAAAATAAACTGATTTTGGTTTATAAAAGACAAAAAAAAATCTTTTTCTCTGGATCTAGTCGTGCATTTTTGAGAAAAAGAACTTAAAACTTGTAAACTCAAAACAATGTACTTCTCGTTTCTATAAAATAATCCCCAAAATTTAATTCTTAAAAAGATTTCAGTTAAAGTTTCACAGATTGAAAATATTGAGCTTTTTCACTATAGTGAAAAGTTTATTACATAGTTGAAATAATGAACGGCTAAAGCGCAGATATGCTATAAAAAAAATGCAAATTAAATAAACATTTTTAATTCCATACAGCTAAATAAAAAGTCTTAAATTGAGCAGTTTCAGGGTCTTTTTCCGTAAACATTAAAAAGGTACAAAGAGCAGAGTGGAGTCAGTGTTTAGTATAAATAGGTTCATTTATTAGACTGTCACTCAGTTTTCAGATGTATAAATATAAAGTTTAACATTTTCACGACAAACAGAAGCATGTACAGACAGAAACATTAAATACATAATTAATACTTTCAGTTGGAAGAAATCAGCTCTTATTTACAGAATATTTACACAAACAGAAAAATGGTCCTCCGCTGCAGTGAATGAAAACAACAGAAAATTAAGTTGAACCTGGAGGTGTGAACCTTTTTCTTAACATCTCTCTCTGGTTTATTAACTTTAATATTTATTTTATTTCTCTGTCCTGAGGGAATCGAACAGCTGGGGTTTGTCAGACTTCAGGTGGACGAAAGTGGAGGAATGTAAAATGGATGTTTTCTCTCTTTTTTTTTTTCGGGGCCTCCGTCGTTCATCGAATCGACTTGATACACAGAGAGGAAGAAAATCCGTCTGAAAGACTCGACTGAGGCCTTCTTTCAAAATATGACATAACTTAAAAAATACAGCAAGAACTGAACCGATTAAAACTTCTCAGTGATTCGATCAAGAATGTAGCAAAACTACATTTCCCAGCATTCCAGTGGTTTTAGCCAGAACTTCAATACAGCAGGAGAAAAAGAAGAATCTCAGTTAAAATACATTAAAAAGTACGGAAGGTCATTCATGCCAAAACATATATGAACTCACATTTGGAAATTTTGGAATGATGGTTGAAAATATTTTAACTATTTAAGAGATTTTAACTTTGGAGGGGCAGTTATTTTTTTGTAAAAATTAATGAGGTTGACAAGTATCTGGAGTTTCTTGCTTTAACTTATAACATAAGTATATAACCTAAAATAGGCTAAAAATTAAATTTAAAAAATCCTGAGCTTTTGAATGCATCACCCCATTTTACGTGTATTTTTTTGGCAACTACAAAATCTTTAAAATTTTGTACAAAGCAGCAGTTTATATAAACTGTTTTATGAAGCTCAAAGGAGCAACAGAGCAAAATCTGAAAATAGGTTGTGTTGAAGTTTAAAGTCTTACATTTTGGCACTAATGGCCTTCCGTACGTTCAGCTTGCTTGAACTACAACAGGTGTGGAGAGTGGATCTTTGGTGTTACATGAAAATCTTTCCGCTGATGCAAACAGGGTGTAAAGTTTCAGTTCAGCTCCATAACTTTTTAAAAAGTTTTTGTGTTTTTTTTTAATTGTCGGGTTTTGTTGTTGTTGGTGTTATTGTCCCAGCTGTGAGGGTCTATAGGACTTGGTAGATCAGGTTAGGGTCCTGGCTGGCGGTTGGGGAGGGGATCTGGACAGACCCGGGGGCCGTCGCCTCTGGATTGGGGTCTGTGGGCGGGGATCCGGGGCCTTCGGCGGCGGCGGGGAGCAGGCTGCTGTTGTCGGTGGAGATCCGCTCCACGATGCTGGACAGACAGTCCAGACTGGAGACCACCGAGCTCCTCTCGCTCTTCAGACCACCTGCAAAAGACGAAAAATAAAAGGAAAGTCAATGACTGAAATCTGAACTCATAAATGTTTGAGTTAATTTTTAGTAATATTAGGAGTAAAAAAAAAAAAAAAAAAGGGTTTCATTAAGTCAAAGGAAAGTTAAGTCTTCTTTTACTTCAGGATTTTATTTTTGTGTCCCTGCCTCATCAAAAATAAAAATAAATGTTTCGACTTTTGTCTGTGGTGTTTTTTTTAAGCTCTGTTTGTTTTTGTTGGATTCAAAAAGTTGATTTCCCTAAAAAGTAACAACTGTAATTTACTCTCCATATAAATCAAAAATTTCCAAAATGATTCAATCAGGAGAAAATTTCCTTTTAAAAAGATCAAATTTTCATTGTTTGACCCTAAATAAAATGTCTGAATTAGTTCTTGTTTTAATTAGCAGCTTTTAACTTTTACATTATTTTTGAGTAAATACCTCAAACACACAAATGAGGACATAAACATGTAATTCTAATGATTATGAAAGATATCTCACCAGTTTAGATTTAACAGGAGTGTGTTTTACAGTGTAACTGGTTTCATTTGTCCTCTTTTTTTTAAATCTTTGTTTTAGTAAAAAGGAGAACCAAATTAAACTCATTTAAAGTCTTTAATTATCGACCTGTTAGCAGCTAAACACTAAAACTCTGTTCTCTTGTTGTTTTCTTACCGTTTGGAGTTTCAGAGAAATACGAGTTACTGTCGTAACTTCCTCTTCTGTTTGACTGACAGCTCGGCCCGTTAAAATCCGCCTGAATAAAAAGAGAGAAAAACACAGAGATTAAAATAATGTTAGATTATATTAAGAACACTACGACTTCAAAGAATAATGTCTGCTGTTTCACCGAAAATAGAAATGAATTTAAGTATTTTTTAGAGAAAATCGCAGCTCTGTCGTGTTTGGAAAAAGAAACTCAAAAAAATCCAAAAAATCCGTTTTACCTACAAGCCGAATAAAAACACAAATATATTCCTGATGTGTCTTCCTGTAATAAAATAATATGAACACTAATACAGTTATCCTGCGTAAACATCACTTCAGTATTTTAACTTTTACTTTCATTTAACTCTGAATATTTCCTCCGTCCTCCTTCAAACAATGTTTGCATCGAGATAAATTATTGGACAATTACATGATCATTTTAGTTCGTGGCCTCCACTCAGATTATTTAAGTTATGAAAAGGTTTGTTAAGATAAAAATCGACCTTGTAAAAGACCGGCCTGTTAGTAACTATGAAGTAGTTTTAACTCCTCACTAATAACTCCTGTGTTCAGCCGAAATGCCTGAAACTCGTTTGGGGAAAAAAGCTTCACTAAAACTAACGAAATTCGAACAAACTGACATGAATATTTAAAAACACTAAAGGTAAAAAAGAGTTCAGATAATCCCGCGTGGAAAGTGCTGAGAACAACTTCAGTCACTGAGAAAAAGAGTCAAACTCGTTGTAGATGAAAATACGAAAACAAACCCGAGAGTGTTTGCGTAAAAACTTTTCTCGTGCGTAAAAACATTTCTCGTGCGTAAAAGCGCATTGGAGAGATTTTTTAAGGCACATTCAAAGACTCGACCACACTTGGTCTGACACCTGTCGATCCCTGAACTCACCATGCCGTCGGAGCAGTTGGAGCGGGGGCTGGAGGCGTCCGAGTCCCCGCTGTAGTGCTCCAGCACCGGGTAGAAGCCGTCGTCCTGCCCGCCGCGCAGCAGCGCCTGCAGGGACTCGATGTAGCTGATGGCGTTGCGGAGAATCTCCACCTTGGGCAGCCTCTGGTTGGGGTTGGCGGTCGTGCAGCGCTTCAGGGTCTCGAAGGCGTCGTTCACCTTGCTGAGTCGCCGGCGCTCGCGCATGGTGGCAGCCTTCCGCCGGTCGGCGTTGGTGGTCTTCCGCTTGCAGGCCTTACAGGCCCACAACAGGCAGCGGCCCGCCTGGTGGTGCCCGCTGGGCGCGCGGACGTGCTCGTCGTCCTCCACCTCGGCGTGGTGATGGAGGTGCAAGAGGGAGGACGGGGAGGAGGACGAGGAGGAGGACGAGGGGGAGGGCGAGGCTGAAGAGGAGGAGTCGTCCGGTTTCAGCAGGCCCACATGGACCAGCCTCGGGTCCAGGTCCTCGAAGAAGTGCATGTCACTGGTGTTGAAACAGGGGTCGTCGTAGAAATCATCTGCGGCGGGGATGGGGAAAGAGATATCCGACAGCTCCATGGTTCAGTCCCGGAGGAGGAGGAAAATCCAGACACGGTCAGTGAGGAGTCCTCAGACCGAAAACCCCAAACTTTTTTAAAAGGAACGAAGAAGAAGAAGAAGAGGAGGAGGAGGAGGAAGAGGAGGAGGAGGACCCCGGAGAGGAGAGGAGAGGAACTCTGACTGAAGCGGGTTCAGGGTTTTGGGGGAATGTAGAGTCCTGACACAAACTGTTCTGTCCTCTCAGCTGTTGACCTGGATCCTCTTATACCTGGGACACACGCGGGGGGCGGGGCCAGCACCCTGATGTCCACTGAGGACTGACCAATCAGCGTGCGAGCGGGAGGGGTTTACAACTTCACGGTAATTAGTGTACAATTACCCCTAACAGAGCAGGACGAGAGGGTCAGATACTGCACACACACACACACACACACACACACACACACACACACACACACACACACACACACACACACACGTGCTGAGTGTTCAAGTTAGTGCACGTTTGAGTCCCTGAAATTAAAGTCATTTTTATTAAACTTATTATTTTTTATTTATTTTTATATTTTAATTGATTCTGTAAATATTGATCCATAAATATCGGTGAGATTTTAGGTCTGGTTATTCAGAGTTCGAGAGCTGGTTAGTGTGAAATCAAAAGGATGAAAATGAAACTGTGGGGCCTTCTTTATAAACCTGGAGGCCTCGTGAATTAAAGGCTTGCAGTGAGAGGAGAGAATGATCCGGAACAAACACAGATATGGTTTTAAAAAGGAGGGAAAAAGGTCAGAAATGGGCTTAAAATCAGGACATCCAGGAGGTCTGCATGAATTCGATGAACCAAAAAGAAGAAAGAAAGACAGAAAAATGTCACGTAAACACCGGTTCAACTCTGTAAATGATAAAATTATAAAGCAAGATCAAAATAACTATATTCTGAATTACATATATATGTAAATATTTGATCAAATCTGAATTAAAGTCAGAGTTTTATAAAACAGTCATTTATTTACACTAAAGTATGAAAGTTTAGTGTAAAACCTCTTAAAATAAAGACACACTAACATCAGTCTCCTTAAACCTTTAATCTAATATAAAATATTGATGATGATGATGATGCTCTTTAACATGTATTTTTTTTAACACCAGATATTTAAAACATGATGCCTCTAACCTTTTTGTACGGCTTATATGTTCGACCTCCTGGTTTTCAGAGAGTTTCTGTCCCTGTGTGCAGCCTAAATAACCTTTACTTAGTTTCATGTTGTGTCTGAGCACTTAGGGTCAAATAGAAGTTTTAAAATAAAATTATTATCTTTATCATTATTATTTATTATTATCATTATTACTATTACTTGCAGTGTCCTTCTATACTTAACTTTAACTGTAATTTTAACTCACTTTATTCTATGTTTCTATGTAACTTACTTTGTCTTTATTGTCGTCTCACAAATACTTCCCAATGTGTTTTTTTTTCTGCAAATGGAAAATAAAAGACTGATTCTGAAAACACCAAACTTATTTGTCAAGAAATGTGGGTCCTTTTTCCTCTCAAACAGCTCTGATTTATGACCTCTGATCTGATCTATACTGCCATTTTTATTGATAATATTAACATAAAACATCAAAACAAAACAAAAATAAAAAAATATATTTTTTTCTTCTATTTTATAGTTTTTTCAGACAGCTTTTTCAGGAGTTTGTTCATCCAAATCTGACAGAAATGACTCCATATGACATTAACTTTACGCCCTTTCTCATGTTTGCTGATCTCATTTCAGTCACACTCTCCAAAAACAATCAAATATATTGATTTAATTAGTTAAATTTGATTGATTGTAATCTGTCTCTGAGTAGACATGGGTTCTCCTCAGCTGCAGTACACAGAAGCTGCAGCTGGAGGGCGCTGCAGAGCAGATCCTGCAGAAAACTGTCCCACTGCTTCACCTCACTGCAGGACCTTCTCCTGCTCTTCGCCCTGAGCTTCGTCTTGCAGGCTGTGGACTAACTACCCATCATCCTCTGCCGGTCGGATGTGACAGATGGTTGTAGGAAATATTCAAACCCTGCTCTCTCTGGATTATCACCGTCAGTCCGAGTATGATCGACGGGTCTTTACGTTCAAGACTTCATCCTGGAGCAGACGAGGATTCTTACTGATATGTTACCCATGAAAATCAATTTTGCCTTCAAGTTTTACATTCAAAAAACACACAAAAAAAAGAAACAAAGTGCTAAAAAATCTTATTTTTTTACAGACTTCACTTTTATTCTGGACAAGTTCTGGATTTGTTCGGATCACATAAAAGCAGAAAACTTGAAAACAACATGATCATCTTTTTCTACCAGACTTTTCTACTTTTACAACAAGGTGCAAAAAATTTAAAAACATCATCAAAAACACAGAAAACTATTACAAACAACAATCATTACCTCGTCTTTACCGTGAAAACATCTGCCTGTCAATAATCGAGTATATAAAAGTCCCAAATACTAAAGACAGGAATAGAAATACGTCTGACGGGGAAAAAAAATCCTTGAACTAAAAAATTTAAATTTTTGAGTGTGATTACGAAGTGTCTGCTGTTCTTTGGCTCAAAATAGATTTATTATGAAAATAAAAAGCTGGTTTGAATTCCTCCAAAGACAAAAAAGCTACAAATATATAAAAAAACATATTTGACATGTTTATAAAATTGAGTTTCCTTAATTATTCAGTTTAAATTTTTTGAAAACCAACCCTTGATTTGAATTCCTGAAACAAAAGTAAAAAAGGAAAGTGATTCAACACTCTTGATTTCCAAGAATAAAGAGGAATAGAAATACAAATAAAGCCAAAGCCGTGTCCCAGTTCAGGGTCTACAGCCTTAAAAACCAGACTGCAGTCACCCGTCCTCATGTGGTCCTTCAAATCTGGGAAATCCTGTTCGACTTAGTGAACAGAAGACGTGATGGTCAGGTTTAGGTGCTAGTGGGCCTGCAAGGGTGTGCACTCTGCAGTTCTACAATAGTGCAGTTCCCCAAGTGTCCACTAGAGGCAAAACTTTTTTTTTTCCTGTCTGAACCAAAGACTGTATAGACGTTTTATTCTGATTTTGATGCAACGAAAGACAAAGTGATTTTTCAATTAAGAGACATTTTATCGCAGCTGTGTCAGCGAGAAAACCGTCTATACAGAATGGGCGCCCTCTGGTGACGGGCTGCAGTATAGGTCATAAATCCCGCCTCCTCCAGCAATCCCTATGGAGCCGTGGACAAACTTTAGAAGTTAATTACACAGAATATAAATGTTTCTGATGTTGACATGTAGTTACTGTCAGACTGGTTTGTGCTCAAGTCCTTTTTTTTCTGTGCAGCTCCATTTTTAAAAGTTATTAGGGGGTTCATGTTTTCTATGATTGACACCTGATTCAGCCTATGGGCGTATGAAGATTACGTCGCTCATTCGGGGGATACCCTATTTGAGCCGAACGTCATCACAGTGACTCTCCCGCCAAATGTGTACAACGCTACTGCGCAAGTGGTGGTGAAAATCCCAGAAATACAGAGAGCAATTCGGCTTCAAATTCGTATAATGACAGAAGGCGGAGCCAAGTTGTCCATAGTCTACAGTCTATGGTCTGAACAGCTTGATGATCCCTGTTAAAGTGTTTTTTTCAAATATATTTAAGTTACAAGATCGGCGAATCAGAAGCAGTGCTAACTTGACTGACAGGTAATCACGCTGTAGCTGAAGACCCGCCTCGGGTAGGTCGACTCAAACTTAGGCCAGCATTTCCAGCATGGCAACTACCGCCAACAGGTCTCTGTCATGTTGATCCAGCTGGTTTGTGGTCGGCATGGTTTCTTACTGTATTTAGATTCAGTGCGTGTCAGACCAGGTCCCCGGTTCTCTGCATTAGTACAGGTCTACGTAAACCTACGGCACAGATTAGGTGGAGAAGTCTAAATCGGGTTTTCTGTAGACCACATCACCTTCAGAGGATCCTGACCCCTGGACTGGGACTCGGCTTTGACCTGCAGTTGGTTTTATAACAATTTAAATCTTTGCAGGTTTGTGTTTAATACAAACTCCTTTTCAGTGAACAGACTTGAGTATTTATTAAACCGTTTCTCCTCCAATCAGAGTCCAGAACAAACCCATCACAGGCGGCGCCAATTAGTGATCCATGTGAAAACAAACATTGCAAAAAGTCCCACTCATGGAAACAAGGTTTTCATCAGTAGTTACTTTTGATTGTGCTAAAGTCGAATCCTCGCCTACAAACGCCCCAATAACCACTTTACGAGAAAGTGTCAAACCGTCTCCGATGATTAAAAAGTTCCTACTACTCTGGTCCTCAACACAAAATCTAACCTCTGAACACTCGATCGTTTCTAATCTCAGTCAAACTGGGATTATCCTCGTCCTGAAACAGCACCGTCACCCGCTCAGCTCTTCCTGCAGCTCGTTCAGCATGTACTCCCCGAACCCCCCCGACTGATCGTTGGTGCAGCCCACCCGGCGGGCGCTGGTGAGCAGATCTCCCAGCAGTTTCAGCCGGTTGACTCGAGGACCCAGAAAGTGGCTCTTCACAAAGCTGGCGGTGTTCGGGTCTCCGTTGTGGCGGGCCAGCTGGTTCAGCTCGACCATGACGTCGACCTCCTCCTTCAGCTGGAGCAGGAAGAGCTCCAGGGCGGGTAACACGGCGCAGACCGCCTCACAGCCCGGTTTCTGGAATAAACAAAGGCGTGTCAGAATTCGCCTCCGAATATTTCGTAATTTCATGTCGTATATTTGCGTCGTTCCCGCTGTGTGAGGACCTTTAGAGAGTAAACCAAATAAATAATGTTTTAAAAAAATAATAATCACGCATCATGAAGCTCAGATCGGGTTTTAGTGAACGTTGTCCAGCAGTCGAGGACTCGGAGGCGTCGCCTCTGCGGTGACGGACACTTGAGAGATGGATAACAAGGTGTCCCAAACTGCTGCTGACTGGACCCGAGGCTTCAGCCCTGAAACGATTTTACACGACTCATAAACCCAGGAGGCCACGCTGCGATGTGCCAACGCCACTGCCGACCATCTGGAAACGCCATCAGCACCGCGGTCCCTCTGCCGTAGCATTAATCTCGCCAATTTTCCGGAACTCAGGGGGGGGAAATATACACCCTGACCGGCTTTAAGCCAGGTCTCCAGGGGTTTAACCTCCCTCTCTGGCACCCCCACCTCCCTATCTCCAACCTCGGGCCCAAATGAAGAGCTTCTTGACAAAGTGAGGCCTCTGCCAGCTCGGAAAAAAACCAAACAGAGAGATAGAGGAGACACCTGCTCTGCCAAAGTGAAGGATCGCACAGGAGGCCAAATAAATCCTGAGAGGGGATGTTTTCAGGCGGAGTAAAACGAGAACGCTGTTACAGACTGAAGCTTCTCTGTCTCACAGATAAAGTTCGGATCATAAATTCAGTTTCAAAATGGATCCACAAATCAACTCTTCGTACCGGATCATCTGAACGACCCCCAGGACCCCTGAGAGGAGCAGGGCTCAGAAAAAACCCGCCCCCGCTCAGCCTGATGAGGAGTTTTGGGCTAATACTGCTCTTGACCCTGACCTCTGACTGACTTCTGTGTGTCAGGGTGAAAAATAACATGTACTGCTGCACTTTTCAACATCTAAACTCACCGAAACACAACAGGGAGATATTTTTCTGTTACACTGATGAAACTAAACCAGACCACGTCAGATTAAATCGAGCAAAGCAGCAGAGTTAAAGAAACTGTAAACCCAAATCTAAAACTGCAGAAGGGGAATTCCTCCTGATTTTTCATGAACATATTTAATGTGTTTATTTTGCTTTTGTTGGATTATCAGGATATTTTCATTTTGCAAACTTCACAATCATCATCTTTGTAGCTGTAACTACTGATGGCCTTTCATTAACCTAACCTGTATGCCAGTAAAATGTGACGTTTTCGCCACAGTGTCAACACTAAATGTTGATAAAGTTTTAAACACCTGGACGTCTTTGCTGCAGAAGTTTCCTCCCCTCTTAGCCAGGTAATCCAGCATGGCCTCGGCCTCTTCCTCCTGCTTCAGCGCCTCCTGGTGGAAGAAAGAAGCGACGCGAGGAAGAGCGATGTCGTCCCGCTCGAACACGCTGGCCTGCAGGAGACGAAAGACAAACATGCCGTGCATTTGGATTTTTGTTTTTGAAGAGAAACTGTACTGAATAAACACCAAAGAATTTAATTATTCACCCGAATGTATAATTTTTTTTTCTCTTCTTGTTTGAGTTTGTTAACTAATAAAGTCAAACTGCCAGTAAAGACAGTAAAATCTCACAATATGGACACTATTTTTGGTAAATTGAAGTAACTTAAAGCTCCTGTGAGGAACTTGTGGTTTGTTTTAGCTTTGGCGCCCCCTGTGGACAAGACAGTTTCTTTTTTTGTCTTCTGCATTATTAAGTAGTTTCTTAGGAGAAAAAAAAAATTTGTGGAAAATATAAAATACAGGGCCTGTTTAAGGCTTGTAAACTTAGGGCCTGATCTACTAAAGGTTTCCGTGTGCAAAAACATGCAAACTTGTTAGCGCACGCAAACCTGATCTACTAACCCGGTGCACCGAGGACTGAGTCTGTCAAATGCGCAAAACAGCACGTGCAATTGATTTAGCGTGTTTGCCTTCATAAATATGCAGAATGTACGTCGACCATCAGAGCGCGCAAAATTCTGGGAGGAGCAGATGCAAATGGAATCATTGAGCGCCCGCACTGTGATTTATCAAACCCAGAAAAACAGTTTGTGTTTGTTTTTCTAGTAAATGACGATTTTTAATAAATAATGAGGTCAAACACAGAACAGATGAAAACATGTATCTGTTTGTCTTATTGATTTTAAATCGTTTTAATCCCTTTTTTGATTTCTAGTATATCTTCTTGCACTTTGAATTGTCTTGTGTATGAATGGTGCTCTACAAATAAACTTCCCTTGCTTTTCATGCAGTTCCCCAATACGATATGTGCAACTCCACGGCTTCAAACACTCTGCTCTCACAAACTCTCCATGGTGACGGCAGGTAGTGCGTGCAAAATCCTCCTTTAAAGAGGGCGGTCTGCACCACTTTTGCACCTGTTCTCAATTGCACACGCAATGACAGTAGATCACCTGCAACACGCCCACTAATAGCACGTGCAATTTTTCAGTTTGCACATGCAAGTTAGCGCTCGCTAGTAGATCAGGCCCTTACAGTCTAAAAATGATTGATCTCATCACTCATGGCCTTGTTTGTGTTTTAACTTTTAATTTGTCTTTTTAGTGCGTAAAAGACAAAACACTTCTATAAACAATCATTTTTTATGCATTAAACAGATGATTGGGGTATAAATCCTCGAGATATGTTCACACAAACTGAATCATATCAGGCTAAATGTTGATTTTTTTATTATTTACTTCATATAAAACCTTTGAAAAGATAAAGTTACTAATTTTAAGAACTTTTTCTTAAGGCTGACAGAGAAACTCCTCGAAACCCCAAATCTGAGACGATCATTCTCAGTTAGAGTAAATGATACATGATGTTCCAATCACTAGAAATCCACGTGGGGATCAGTGTAACAGCACGCCCCGGTTTCCCCTATCCTCTGTAGTGATATTGTCCTTGTTTACTCGGTCATTGATAGGATGCGGTAATTGATCTGTCAGAGTACATGATGTTCCAGTCTCCTACCAGAGCCTGCAGCCGGTACGCTCCGTCCCACAGCATGCTGCTCACCCCGCACAGAGCCTCCTCCACGCCGGCCTGCAGGTTCTGTCTCACCCGGCTGCTCGTGGAGCTCCGGTGCGCCTTGCACAGCGGCAGGCTGCTCTTGAGGCGCTTCTCCGCGGGCTCAGCCATGACACAGCCCGGTCACAGTGATCCAGGAGAGGGAGAGCAGTCCGGACACTTTAGTGTGACACACTAACCGACCTGAGAGGTGAATTAGATTAATGCTGGAGAGGACTGCTCGATAAACGCGGTGGTCTCAGAGTAAACAGGCGTCCTCTCAGCCGACCCTGACCGTCAACACAGGATAAATTTAGCCCGCATGGATCAACTGTTTCCCGGTCAGCTGCTCGAGTTCATCCGGTGTGTTTGAGCTCAGAGCTGCAGCCACAGTTATTACAGCAGAGGTTATATAATAGAAATATCACATGATTGACTTCAGTCAAAGTCACATGCACTTGTTTCTTATAGTTTAAATGACATTATGTTATTTATTCTGCAGGTTATAAATGATTTTCTCGTGCATTAAACATTTCTGACTGTCTTGACTCCTGAGTTTGTTGGAGAGCTTTAAAGTGAAGGATGATCTGCTGTAAGCTCTCACACTCTTCCTAAAGACACTTGAGATTACAGCTGACAGCTTCTCAGAGGCTTATGTGTTCAGCACAGTTCATCAGGACATCACTCGGTCTATAAAACACCTGTACAAACAATGTAGAAACACTGAAAATACACGTGAGACATACTTTATAGTTACGCTATATTCAGATATGTTTGAATTATTCAATTAGCAAAGAACCACACTATCAACGATATACTTCAACAGTTAGAAACAACAAAAAAGACTTGAGTTTGATGAGTTAGACACCCCGCAAGAGATGAATGTTGCCAACCGCTTCTTTAGTTAGCCCAACTTTAGTAACGACCTCACGATAGCAATACAGAGAGCTATGCACTCAACCAAAACGCCACTCTATAGCCACAAATAATGCTCAGAACAGCACCTAACTTCATCAACAGGACATATAGGGTCACAGCCATAGTACTAGACACCAACTTTGACTAATTTCTTTAGCAAAGAGACTAAACACAACTCACCTACTCTCTTCCAGCAGCCACTTGTCCGTAGCGAGACCTCAGGCCAGTCCATTACAGACTACAGCGGGGTGTCGCAGCTCAAGGAAGAACATTTATGATCATTTCTTTATCATTTTCTTGAAGTAATAATCACCATATTAATCATTTTACTCTGCAGACGCAGTAGTTCTTCTGTCTTAGCGTCTCAGTCTGATTGTATTTCCATGAAGAAATCATCATAAATGTTCTTCCTTGAGCTGCGGCACCCTGCTGTAGTCTGTAATGGACTCACTACAAACAAGTGGCTGCTGGAAGAGAGTAGGTGAGTTGTGTTTCGTCTCTTTGCTAAAGAAATGAGGCAAAGTTAAAAAGATGTTTGGTGTCTAGTACTATGACTGTGACCCTATATGTCCTGTTGATGAAGTTAGGTGCTGTTTTGAGCATTATTTGTGGCTATAGAGTGGCGTTTTGGTTGAACGCGTCATTACTTAAGTTGGTATATCTAGTGAAGCAAGCAGTCAACAACATTCATCTCTTGACCGAGTGTCTAACTCGGTGTTATGGGGTGTTTGACCCTAAATTAATTTTATGCCGGAATATCCCTTTAAGTCTAGCCTCATGGGTTCAGGACCTGTATGAAACAAAAACCAACAAAGTGGAACTCCTGAAAAGTGCCGAAGAACTGCTCGCTGTACTTTCAGGTGTTTTTTTAAGTGTCTGACAGAAACACAGATGGATGAAACTAAACGTTCAGGTCTCTCTCAGACCTCCTGTAGTCCTCCTTTGATACTCTGCTACAGCCAGGTCCAGCCCAGGTGATTACCCAAAGGTCTCAGGGTTGGGTCAAGGGTTTGAGTCCTGTTGACCCTGGGGTGTCTCTGAGCTAAGAGTCGCTCTTTCTTCCCTCCTGGACCAGCTGACCCCCCCTGCAGAGAGACCAGCCCCTCCCGTCACTCATCCTGAGCTGAAACAGGAGAGGAGGAAGAACCAGGAGGTCCACTCTGGACTAATGATGGTCAGCTGATCTTTGGACGACATGACCTTTGATTCAGAAGACAACATGGTCCAGTGTGTCGAGTAAATAAAAGTTTGATGTTATTTTTGATTAAAAAGTGTGTAGATGTTTCATCAGAGGTCTGAAGTTGAAGATCTCCTTTCGATGCTGATCCGTACTTTCCTCACATACTGTATGTATCTTCTTCAGGATGTAAATCGTCACTCGATACGTTTACATGTCACTTGAGAAAACCAAATTATTGCCTTCCACAGATTAAGACCGGACAACTGAAGTGCATGTAAACACCTTAGTCCAACTATAATTGGAGTTCTCAAACTCCGATTGGAGTCTGAGAACTCCAATTAAGACTCCCAGATAATGTGAGTGGAATTCAATTTTCTCTACCATGTAACCAGCGTAGTCAGAGTATGATTATACAACGCATGTGGGCGTGCGCCACGCCCCCATAACCCCAGAAAAAAAAACACCAGAGAAGAGGAGTAGCATGTGTCTCATCTGCAGAAAAAGTAGCACGTCCATCATGTAGGACAAAAACAACGCTGTACTGATGCTCCATCTTCTTGTTTCTCCAAAATGTCCAGCAGCAGTTGTAGACACTTCTGACGTCCGACATGGACCTGCTGTTGTTGTTGTAGACGGTCGAATAGGGTCGGAAACAGCGCCGCTGAAAACGTCAACGTCAATAATTTCGATTTTCTCAGCTGCATGTATACGAGGACAAGAAGAGAAGTCAGATTCTGCGAGAAAAAACAAATACAAGCTTAGTCTGATTAAACTGTGCATGTAAACACACTGACTGGGTGAAAATGTCCAAGTCATGGTGAGACAATTAATATTTTAAAGTTGAAAAATGACCTCGTCCTATCAAACACAATATATAACACCCTCAGAAACTTATTCTGGTTCATGGGTGGCACCACGGAGGATACAGTCTCTAAAAGTGCAGTTTCTACGCTAAATTTTATGGTAGATTTAAACAACAACACAGTGAGGCACACACACACTCACACACACACACACACACACACACACACACACACACACACACACACACACACACACACACACACACACTTGTGGAGCACTTAATAAAGCTAAAATGAGCAGACTGACAGGAGAGGTGTCTGCCTTCACACCTGCTGCCTGCTGTTAACCTCCAACTCTACAACGACAGCATTGTCCTGGAGAGGTGGCAGATTACTTTACACACACACACACACACACACACACACACACACACACTGATTTACAGCTCTGCAGGCAGGTTTGTTGTCCTGCCTCTCTGCTCTCTTTGGACTAAAGCCTCAAACAAACCAAAGAGGTGACGTCGACTTTCAGTGATAAACTTTAAATGTGTCCCATCATCAGAATCATAAACCAGAATGAACCCACAGCAGCACTCACCAGACTTATTTAACTTTGCGTCTTTGTCCAGGGGCCTCCGCGGGCCCGAGATCAGTCCAGCGGTCCCCCGGCTCTGTACGCCGCCGCTCATTTTGAATTCCTGTCTCTCATCACGAGACTCGGCGTATAAAAGCGCCTCAGCTCCGGGCTCATGTCAGGCCTCATGTCTTCATGATTCAGACAGAACAGCTGGTGAACCAAACAGAAGAAAAACAAGATCATCTGACACCCACAGGGAGACAAAGACGCTGCTCAGGACCTGATTTTAATGATGGTCAAATCATCCTGAACAGCCGCTGCATCGGCGTGTCTCAGTCAGAATAGTTTCGTCAAAATATCAGTTACATCAAATTCAGAGGCACGGATTTTCCTTTTTGAGCGTGGAGCATGCTCTGAAAGTTTGGACAAGTTTCAGTCTGATCAGAAATTTATAAATGGACAAGAATTAGTCCAACAATAAGAAGAGTGTGATTCCAGTCGGACAGGTGTTTCTATTATAAAAATCCAGTTTTAGTTGGATAAATATAATAATCTGAGAGAGAGCCCAGAATGAACCCTAAGATCCTGACCCTTTGTACTGATTAGTGTTTTAGCAGTACTGAGCTCTTCTTACTCCCGCTTTACAAAAACTTCTTCATTTAATATTTGTCAGTAAATCAACATTTTCAAACAGAAAACTAGAAAAGTAATAAATATAACTTGGCTTATCAAAGTCCCACTCTGATCATTTGATATTTTAACTACTTAAAGTGTTCTCAGTGGTCTTAAAATTGTCTCCGTGGGCGGAGACAGCGCTGCTCTGCACACTCCTCTTCATGCTAGCTTGTAGCCTAACATTACCGCTGTAGTAGAAGAAGCAGGTAACATGGAGCTGTTCAGCTCTTGGACACTAATGTCTTTGGGGACATGATGAAAGTTAAAATCATAATTAGTTTTCTTATGAGCATTACAATCCGCTAACGCACACGCTTGTTCTGCGATCGTCCTCTCTACTTCTCTGAGTCTGGCCTGCATAGCGGGGCTCTGGGGGCGGAGCTTAGATTTGTGATGTAGGAAATCTCACTGTGTCTGAGTCTGCCATTTAGGCCTGCCAGAGATTCACAGCAATTTGAATGAAGAAATACTTAGAAATGCAATTTTCGTACTTATTTTTCTCATGATTTGTCCTGTAGCATCAGAAAAAATGAACATATGAACATGTAGACAACAAGGAAAACATGATTTTTAATCAGAGTGGGACTTTAAACAATTAAAAACACTTAAGTATTGAAAAAAAATTCAATAAAAGCGCTTATTCTGAAACGCAGGAAGATGGGAAAGTGTTTGACGTTATTCCCCGCGTTAATTGCTACAGCTGTGGAGTCACTGAATCTCAGAGAGGCAAGACAATATGGAAAACTGAGTATCATCAGCGTAGTGATGACTCGATTGTTGTATTTAGAAGGTTAATAGAAAAAAAGGGGACCTAGAATTGAACCCTGTGGAACTCCGCCTGTGAGAGGAGCATTAGATGAAGAAAACCGTTCTACTTTTCCTGAAAAGGTCCCGAAATAAAGACACACAAACACCCAGAAACTAAATCACAAATACCAACAGAGGTTTACGGGAGATTCATGAAAATGTTGTTGACTTT